TGGTAAACAAGTTGGGAAGGGACACGATTCACATTACTCTTAAGAAATAGCTAAAACAAATGTTTAAACAATCTGCTTGAATTTTCAGTTTACAATAGTTTGACAATGGCTATTTTGACTTTTAGAAAATAACTTCCGTGTTCACACTCCACAGGATGGTTTGACATCAAGCCAACAATAGGAGAAGCCACTCTTGATCGACTTCCTCCCATCCAAACCTCTTGCTGCAGACGTAACTCCGGGGTTTCAAAGAAAAAAGTCGCTTCTGCTTTAAGTAAGCTCTTGTTTAAACTTTTTGTCTGTTAAAATGCTTGGCATACTTTAAAGTTTACAAAAATTAGTTAAAATATTGGTGTACATCAACATCCATTTTAAAAACACATACCATTGACATGCTGTCATTTTTTCACACATTACTTTGAGGTGAAAAAAGAGGCACAATCTGATGGTTGCATATGCTGATATGCAACATAAATATTAAAGATGGTAAGTACAGAATGAAGTGTTTCCAAGTGCGTCAGATCACACTTCACTCGTAAGTTTGCTTTGTTTAATACAGCCTTGTAGAATTAGCATTCTTCAGAATTTATTTCTTAATATCTAGACTTTAGGCCATTCTATCAAAGCCCTTTTAATTCATTATACATGTCAGGCCACATGTTTAGCATAGTTGAATACAACACAAGTGAGTATTAATGTTTCTATAAAAATATTTACATGTTTGTATGTATACATACATGTATGTTACCGCAGACATTGTGAACATAACCCTATATGTATACATGCATGTATCATAGTTTCACCTTTAGATTCCTCTAACTCAGCTCAGCCCTCTTCTGTTAGTGATATATGTATCACGATCCATCAGGGTGGAAGCTGGGGCCAGAGCAAAGTGGGAAGAATAGGCAGAGGGTATAATAATGAGAGTAGACATGGAAAGGAGACTGCAGGTTCGGTTCTGTTTCCTTCCCCCGGCTTGCTTGCCTGTCTCCCCTTATAGCTAATTGGCTTTTGCTAAAGGTAAGATCACTAGGAGTGGGAAAGGGCATGACTACCTGTTTAAGAAGCAGACATAAATATGCCATATACAGAAACGATGCCCCCTGGTGTTTGGATTGCTAAATACTTCTCATTCTTGAAATCAGTTTTCAATGCTTAACTGTGAGTTTTTAGAAACTGTATGCTTTCATCACTTCAGATCAAGGCTCCAAGTACAACTCTTTGTTATTTTTACACTTTTAAATATATTTAATGATGTAAAAACATTTGATAAATAACCCCTTCCTCATGTGTTCAGTGCTCTCTTTTATTCCAATGGTGATTTTTCTCCTTTACTGAAACCTGCAGTACACAATGCCTATCAGGACAAAAAGGGGACAAAGACTTTTCTCTTTAGATTTCTGCTAATCCTGTTGCAAAGGTCTCTGTTCCCTTCAGTTAGATGTATCAGGCACATTGGGGGGGGGGTAATGAATGATAAGAATGAGACTTTTGTAATTATATGGATGTAAAGGATTTTGCTAAGTAGTTAAATGTGTTTTGCTAAGTTTTGGATAAAAAGTAGAAAGATTAGTTCAGGTTAGTTGTAATAATTTGGAAACTAATGGTAGGAGGCTAACTCTGTAAGAACTCACCTGTATTTCACCATCAAAGGTTGCACATAATAGCATTAAAATTACTAATTTTTCATCTGAAAAATCTTTGGTTTTGCAAACACAGTGGCCAGAACTATTCGTAAGATAGGTTGTAGACTCAGCTTTTTCTGTTTTGACTGTAAGTTCCTCTAATTATTTTCATAAAACCCATGTTCCAGCAAACCAGTGACTCAACAGAGTACACTCAGATTTCTTGTTTTCCGTGGCCTCTTACATTAGAACTGAGTGACTAAAAAGAGTCTGGGTGGCTGGCTTAGGTGCTCGGTGTAATCAGAGTTCCATAAACTGAATTATGATTCATGTACATTTGCCAAATCTAAGTACAAAATTGTGTCACTGTTGCCTCAGCTGCTTTCTGAAGCAATATCTAAAAATAGTTGAGTCATATTAAGTATCAGATGCACCAAATTAAACCCTGAATTATTTTTAGTCCTGCTTATGACTTTTAGAGATGGGTGACATTCAGAGGTCTTTTAAAGTCTAGGACTACTAACATGATTGATTTAAATATTGTTTACTAGACACTTCAACATGTACTCAGCTTGCTGTTGTCAATCATTCTGCATATATATAATAAGCTAGAAAGTTGAATGATTGCATATATGCTAACCATGAACTGCTTTAAATTTCATTTAAATACCCCAGGAAATACAGGTAATACACACAGAGAAATTCACGTAAAGCAAGCTGGACAAGATTGTGACTCTTATGACTTCTATGAGAAAAATGAAAAGGAAACCTTGAAAAATATATGTCAAATCACTCTGAAGAAGTGATGCCACCATCCTATAGAACTTGATTACCGAATCTTGGACAATTTCCAACAGTAAAGAAAGTGGTGTCTTATTCATAGCTTGGCCTACAGAGCATTTCTTTTCGATTCAGTTCAAAGTAATTTATTAAACACCAGTATGCATGTACTCTGAAATAACAAAATCAAATAAATTAGTCCAAAATGAACAAAAGTAATTTTAAATGTAGAGTAAAATCATAGTAAGAATTCTTTCTCGTAAATTCTCATATTTAGGAATGGGGAATGTACTCTGTAATGTTTTCTTATTTTCCTGCATATCACAGGAAAAACTGCCATGGTAGGCTGTTTGTAGTAATTATTAAGTGCTTTTCCTTTTTATGCCAGATTTAGGATATTTTATAGTTGAATGTTTTGTTTTGTTTTTTTTTTTTTTATTGTTGCTTACATTGTATTATGTAGTACAGTTTTATAGGCGCTGGGGATGACAAGTGGAGAATCAGTCTCTTACAACAAGGCAGTTTTTTTCCTAGATTGCCTAGTAGGATAACAGCTCACAGAACTTACCCCTTTGTACTTCTAATAACTCAATCTTGTCTTACTACTTATGGAGATATGGTGATGCCTCAAAGGCAATTTTTTTAGAAAGTTATTTTCTTTGAAAGGCAGAGACACACAGTAAAACAGATCTTCCATCCGCTGGTCACTCCTCAAATAGCCATAAGTAAAAAGCATTTTTTTACTTGGCATCAGGACAACCAATACAGTTATTCTCCAATGCAAATATATTCTTGAACAAGTCTGGACAAATTCACAGAAATATATATATTTAAATAATATTTTGAAAAATTATAATTAACTGTGATATTACAGTTTTGCTATAACATCTGGTTATGCAAAATATAATCAAAATATATTTTCAATGCTATAAAAATCATTGTCCAATCAGTTTATTCTCACACAGGGTATACTTAAGCCTACAAAATAATTTGTCCACATTGTTGGTAATATAAACATTCTCAAAAACTAAAATAAATTATTGTTAAGTGTTTGATTTCTCATGCATATGAAACCTAACAATAATTCCTCTCTAAATTTTGGTTTTCAATTTAAGGCACAATACATACAGATTGAGGGAGTGACAATGATATGGTTAAAATTTTATGAGAAAGTAAAACATTTAATATTCACTATCAAGAACATGGTAGAAGCCAATGACTATTACAATGGCAGTTGAATAGATTCAATTTATATTTTAGATAAAAACGGAATCACTTTTGTATTGTTTTCATTTGTAAAGGAGTTCTATGATTTTGATTTTATTAATATATTTTCTTGTATTCACTAGAAATACAAAAGGTAAAAACTGCTTATGTGTAAACGAAATGTAATTATAGCCATTTAAATATTTCAAACCATGAAAATTTGTAATTACTATATTTTAGGGTACAATCGGAAAAAAAATTAGATTTAGGCTGCCAATTTTAAGTGGGAATTTTAGTATACATGTGCCAATCACTAATCCTCAAGTATTAAAAAATCTGAATTATAGGTATTTGTAAGAGTTTTTTAAATTACTACTCAGGTGTACTCTATATTAATTACCACATTAATATAAGTTGGAAACATTCTCTTTTAAAATACTTATTAGTTATTTTTTTATTTAGTAGAACTTAATGCTACAGTTATTTTGAGGCGCTAGAAATGATTAAAGTGCTAAACATGCATGATACATAGATACAAAATATATATTGTTATAAGAAGTTTGTTTGACAAGGTCTTAAAATAGCTTAAATACAAAAAAGTCTAAGAAAAGCTAAAATGATTCTACATACATGAATTTATTCTTTAAATTAAAAAATTGATTATAAATCCTATAAAACAATCTGTGTATCAAAGTACCATCTTTATAGTATAAATTAATTCCATAAATTTCAGTCAAAATTCTAGTTTAACTGTAATATATTCAGAGATTTGTCAGACAGAGCTTGATACTTGCAAAAATATTTTAAAATTCAAATTTACATAACATATTCAAGATTTCAATTAATATCTTATCTACGTAAAGAAATTTTTTGAAACTGTTGCCAAATAAATTGACAGAGCAAGTTAACATAAATTGACCACAGTTTTTTATGTAACTATTAAGTGCATTAATCATAACTAATATCCATACATAGTAGATATCTTCTGGTCCATTATCTGAAGCACAGTCTTACATGTCTGACTACATTTTACATTTGCACCTCCATTTTTTAAATTGCTTATATTCATACCTTTATACTTGGGTAGTTGAATTTCAAATAAACTGGTAATATTCTCTCTCTCACTCTTTTAGTTGTCTATCCATTTGTTGATATGTGATAATAATTGAAAACTTTGTAAAGTGTAGCTGAACCAAATGACTATTACATACTTTACAGAGGATAGGCATGGGTGTTTGTTAACTTGAAGGTTACTTTCGTACAGCTCTCATTTTGATATTTCAGCAATACAATCCTTCCAACAGTCACTGTGTCAAGCTGTTCCTACTGACCCAAGGGAAGTGCTCTTCTGTTACAATAAAGTTTGATACCTCTGATGCCCTAAGAAACTGGATTACTCTTACCCTCCTCACAAATGTGGCTATAACATTTCATAAAGGAGACATGTATTTTTCCTTTAAGTTATGTAAATATTTTATTTTTCAGAGTGAATGAATATATTTCATGGTTATTCTCCACCTCTTCCAACCCCAATCCTCATTGCAACTTCTGGCTCCTGGACAACCAAAATTAGGGTAATACTAACCTACAAGTTTCTTTTCAAAAACAAGTAAGCATGGAGAAAAATCTCCGTCAGAATGGATTGAGTCGTATTCCAGTCCCCAAAGGTGAGAATGGGTTCACCTTGGCCCACATCAAAGCATCATTCAAAGAGATAGTAGATTTCCCATCTTCAAGGAAAAATACAGGTCCCTGCACATGGTGAAAAAACAAAGAAAGAAAATGAGGTTACAGATTTGCAACATATCTGCAAAATTTCAGAAACAGAATCAATGACATAAAAAATTGGTGACATTTAGGCCATACTAGTAAGAAATTTACTATGGAAAAAAACCCTAGTTTTTGAACTACTATTTGATACAGATACATTTTGAAATATTTAACATTATGTCATTGTATCTCATGTTTATTAAAATAGAATTTAGTTTTACAGTTTGAAATTTTTAATACAGGAGTTCTATGAATGACAATAGCTATTCTTAATCAACTAATCTCATATGCTAAATAATTTTATGAAAGCATATATTCCTAGTAATAGATTTAAATGGGTTTCACTATTTTAAGCATATAGCCTATATCAATTCTGGGGAAATTATTTAGGCAGGAAACTCGATTCTATTGCTCATTGTGTATACAAAATCATGCAATTTACTGGTATATTAATTTAGTTGTATTGGCTACTATGCATAACTTATAAAGTACCAAATATATTACTCAAGTCTTGGAAAATATGCAACACATTTTATTTCTTAATTTGATTCTAAAGCTATCAGGTATTTTGTCATGGTCTTAAATAATATACCTTGTTGTTAGTAAGGTATTTTTAAATATTGGAAAGCACATGACAGAAACAGGTACAGTGCACAACTTCTCATTTAGTAGATATATGAAATTTCATTATGACATCCTAACATACTAATTTTCTGTTGAAATGGAAATATTTTAGGAGAGTAACACCCAATCTGCATTAATCATGTCACTCTTATGCAAATGAGCTAATCAGTAGATCCTTCCTGGATGTAGGTCTGGACCAGAGAGGTTAGATCACATTCATGAGGTTGCCTGGCTAAACACAAAAGTACTGAAAATGATAGCACTGGGTTTGGTACATAATGGGTACAGGGTGGTAATGAAGACATTCATTGAAAAGTTCATATTTTTTCTCTTAATTATAACTTAATGAATTCTCTCATTTTGGTTATTTCTGCATGTAAATGGATAATAAAAGTGTGTACAACTATGTGCCTTGCTTTGTGGGCTGTATTGGTACATGCTGAGGACTATTAGCAAGCGGTGTCAGGTTAAGCTACAGTTACTTTTACTTTAATGTGATTTCATTTGTTCTGATTGTGCTTAAAAATACCTTCTTCACTAGCCCAGCATGTCAGCATGACAAATGTAATTTCTTGACTACATTAGATATACACTGAATAAAACAGGGGTATTACTAAGATGCAGAACTTTTTTAGTACAATTTGAAGTCCCAACTAGCGTTCAATAGGGTTCAGCTGTTTGTTTCCTGGGCACTACCAGCCTCCATCAAAGATGCTGAGAACTCCTCCATTCAAGATAAAATAACACCCTTGAGTGACCCTGGGCGACTCCGGCATGGTTCATCACTACTATCTTGACTACACACTGAGGACTATTACTTGCAATTTTGCTGTTCTTCATGAGTGATTTCAGTAATTTTTAAATACTGGAAAATACAGTAAATCCACACAAAATTTTATATAAATATATATATAGTATTTCATTACATATAGGTATAAGTGAAAGTATTTAAGTCCTTTATACAACACAAATATGGAGTAGAAAGTTAATTTTAATTATTTTGATTTAATCTTTCATAACTGTTGATTGCTGGTTTCTCCTTTTTTTGATTCCTTCAGGATATGTCCTAGATATAGTTCAAAACATTTGTTACCTAGTATATAAGTCACTGGTTATTATCTATATGTTTTGCCTAAATCACTGTCTCTCTGAACTTGTTTTAGGGATAAAAGAACCATTTATAGCAACCATGAAAGTACTGAAAGCAGTATTTTTTTTTTTTTTACTGAGCCGTAAGTCTCTCTTCTTCAAATTTATGGTTACTTTAAGATAACATTTCCCCAAATAAATATACAAAATGTGCAACCTCTGTCTAAGAAATTACCTGGATTTTTACTCCTGTAAAACATGAGATGTGAATGTCAGAATGACTTGGGAGATTTGATCCAGTCACATAATCTGGTCCAATAATTCCTTTGAGTGGCTCTTCTTTTAATCTCTTTACTAACGTCGCATAAACCATTCTTTGCGAATCAGAAGGGGGTGTATATGAGGCTTCTTCGGATGATCTATGTTTTCAACAAATGTTACATTTTCATTGTTTCAGAACCACAGAATGGAATACATTTAAAACGTTTCTGATGATTATTGAGCCCCCATTATGGAAGCAGGCAAAACAAATTTTACAGTACAGGGTGCTTTAAAAAGGTAGAGAAGAATAGCATGGTAAAATATTATTGAATATATGCTAAACCAAACAAGAGTCATAGTTCTGCTAAATTATTAATGATTTGTGTATGTTTCCAATAGATTCTTTTTCCTACAACATTATTCTCTACAAAGCAGTTTTTATTCATGTTCACCCACCGGTTGTCTGACTGAGTGCAAGCTCTCCATGCATCCAATTCCTCAGAAAGATGTTCAATTTTTAAAGGTACTGATACCTTCCTACGTTTTAGTAGCTGACTGAAACATGAAAAAGAAATTAATATTTGACATAAAAATCTGAGATTTCAGAAGAAGCAAATAAATGTTAAATAATAAAATTTTTAAATTTAACAGCTATTATTAATATGTGTGTGTACATTTGAAGGAACTCCAAATATTTATGGAAAATAACATTAAAATATAAATTTTTTGGTGCAAGCAATTTGAATTCCATGCATATGTTACTATGTACACTTGTAAATTTAGCACTTTTTAAAATAACATTTTATTATCTAAGTTATAGTTAATAAGATACAACTTATTTTTTATGATTTTTACATAGTTGATTAGGGGGATAAGGGCTACAGGAAGGTGGGTGAGACCATTGTTTCCACATTCTCTTTTCCTTCCTGTATCCTGGGGAAGAAGGGAGATAAGGGGAGAAGCCATACCCAGCCTCCCAAAGGCCTCCACACCTTGGGATGAGGGACGGCCACCCGACGCCATCCCAGGATTCCCAATGTGGGACATGTTCTGAGGGTCATACTCAAGAGATTTTGATAGTTCAATAGTTCTGAATTACTGTCAATCTTGCCACTCCAATCATGATGAGATCTCTCCAGAGTCCACTGGTTGACATAATCCACCTTAGAGTCTCTGTTTGCCTAGGTATTCACTGCCAACACTTGGCTGGGGCAATTGATCAATTTGTTCTGTCCTCCATCCTCTATTATGGTACCAGGTGTCCTCTGCAGACTCCAATGGACTGCCATATCCTTCATGTGCACCTGAATATGCTGTCCACTTCTCTGTCTAAACCACTGAGGAGATCCAGCTCTGACAGTGCACTCCTCAGTCAGACCATGGAACCTGCAGTTCTCTCCATGTTTGGGTTCTGAGTCCAGTGGTTCAATTGGAGGGATCCCCAAAGAAACTTTGTCTGGGGTGACCCCAGATCTGATTCTTGTGTGTGCATGCCAATACAGGGTCCAGCATACACAACCAGCTTATGCACATGTTGGTGGTTGCAATTGCTGGTTCAGTTCTGTCCCCAGCCCTGTCTTCTACACAAACCAGTGGGTGTTGCAGTCCAGCCCAATCATGCCCAGCATACACAGGGCCCTCACGCAAACCAGTGGGAGCTGCAGCCTAGTCAGAGCAACCTGCAATAATCTCCACCAAGCCTGCCCCCTGTCCTGGTCCCCATGCCTGCAAATATGCATAGCAGATAGGTCCAGTCTGTTCCACATCCCCAATCATCTCTCAAAAAGGAACACTGAAGCCTAGGTCGATCTGACCAGCCCCACTACCCAGCCCACACACATGCCAATGGGTGCCACTCTGTCTAGCCATGCCTGACCCAGTTCTGGTTCTCATGCTCACCAGTTGTAGCAACCCAGAGGGAGGTGTCCATAGTTTCCCTGCTGGGCCCACTCCCACTCCTGGATCTTATATTCTCCAGGTGGTTCTGCAGTTTGACTGGACAGAATTTGCCCCACATGACAACTGCCAGCTGACGCTCTGGCAAAGCCCAACCAACCCACACCCACTCTGGCTTATGCATGCACAAGTAGTAACAGTTGATCCAACCTGGCATTTCCCTGATCCAGCTCACATGAAGCCAACAGGTGCTGGAGCCCTGCCCAGCCTGATCTACCCTCATCTCAGCTCTCATGTTCACTACTGGGAGTGGTGGTCCAGCAGGGGATTCCCATGCAGCCCCTCTACTGGGTTCACCCCTTCCACTCCCCCGGGTCTCACATGTGCTAGTTTAGCACTGCGGCCCAGTCTGTCATGGCCCGCCTCTCCTTGGCATTTGCCAGTGGGTGCTGCAGCCTGGCCAGGCCTAGCACACCCACAATTTCAGCTCACACTGGTGGGTGCTACAGCCTAGCCCAGCCCAGCCAACCTCCTAACTCTGCCCTCATGTGAACCAGCTTGTATTGCGGCTCGACCATTCTGGTGCTCAGATTTGCCAGCAGGTGATATGAATTGGCCCAGCTTGGTTCGCCCTGACCAGAGCCAAATTTATGCCAGTGGGTACCATTTCTTGGCCTAGACTGGGCTGCTCCCTATTGTGCACAGCTGCAGGAACTGTGTCCTGTCAGAGAAGTTTCCTAAGTTCTTCTATCAGAAACTCTTCCAATGCCAGATCTCACGCACACTGATGATTCCATGCGTCAGGCCTATTTAGTCCACCTTCTGGCCTAACAGGAACAGTGGCCTTTCCTGACTGACCCTCACCCATTCCAATTCTTGCTGTTGGGTGCAACATCCCAGCCAAGCCTGGTTCACACCCAGACACAGTTCACACATGGCTCAACAGGGACAGTGACCTAACCCAGCCTGTCCTATATCCACTCTGGTTCTCACGAGCACCAGTGGGTGCTGGAGTCTAGCCCAGTCTGGCAGACCCCAGACTCAATCCACACCTGTGCCGAGGGACACTGCAGTCATTTCCAGACCAGACAGAAGCCCCCATTCCAGCTCTTGCAGTCACCAGTATGAACCACAACCCAGCAAGGGCATCCCTTTTGCTCCCCAACCAGGCCTGTTCCCAGCCTCAGATCTCGCATGTGCCAATGGTTATTCTGATCCAGCTTGGCAAAACTCTTCACCTGTCTTGGCCTTTACCTTGTTTGCTTAGTCTGGCCTGACATGGCCTGCCCCCAGTTCCAACTCTTGCTGGTGGGTGCTGGACCCTGGCCCTGCTCATTCTGCTCCCATCCCTGGCTCATGCAAACCAGTAGGTGTGATAGCCAAGCCTGGCATGACCTATGCTCCATCCTGGTTTCTGCACTTGCCAGTGACATAAGGTTTGCTCAGCCCTGCCCAGTTTATCCCCTTCTAAAACCAATCCACACAGTAACCAACAGATAGAGCTACTTTGCCCAGCCTGCCCAACCCCCAAGCTTGGACCACATGCTCACCAGCAGGAGCTATGACCCACTAGGGGAATTTCTCAAGTTCCCCCACTTGGCCCACTCCCAGACCCAGATCTCATGTATGGCGGTGGAGCTAGGCCTTTGCCTTGCATATTCTGCCCCTCCATCTTGGCCTTTGGATAAGCTGGTTAATGTTGTGTAGCAGCCCACCCCACAGCCTATTTTAGGATGCACATGCAGGTGCTATAGCCTGGTCCTGCCCGGTCTATTTCGTTCCCAGTACCCTTGAGTGTTGGTGTATTCTGTGCTCACACCTAGCTCAGCCCATCACCACTTCCAACTCTTAAGTGAACCAGTGGTACTTGTGTTACTACAGGGTTGGGTTCATATATCCACCACAGAATCTACCCCCAGACCTGGTTCTCTTGTGTGCTGGTTAGTGAACCTTGCCTAATGTGACCTGTCCCCCGTGATGCGCTCTGGGAACTTGGGAATGTGGGCTTACAAGGAGTCTGAGAGATGTCACAGGTGGGGATGAGCAGGGACCTTAGGTTCATGTCCAGGTGAGGAATGACTTCTGGGACTCCCATGGACAAGGCCACTCTACTTGAAGGGCTACAACATGGAACCCACCAGAGCATCAGAAAAGGGAATGGGTATTGTGTAGCTGTACCATGAAGTTGACAAATATGTGAGAGAATCAGGTCTGGGGTAGAATCTGCAAGGGAGTATGTCAGCTCACCCATGTGGAACAGCAGTCTCCATTGGCACACGCAAAAACTGTGGCTGGGAATAGATAAGTGGACACCCCGGTTGGACTGGAATTCCCACTAGTGAATGCGAGAGCCAGAACTGGTGCATTGTCCTGGGCCAAACATGGCTGCAATCTCGTGTGACACAGGTGGAGCCTGGGCCTGGGGAGGGACAGACTGGGTTAGACCCCAGCACCCACTGGTACATGAGAGTCAGGGTGGGTATAGAATGGGCTGGGCTAGGTCATGCTCCTGCTGAACCATGTGAGAGCTGTGTCTCGGAACAGACCAGGTGTGGCTGGGCTGTACCACTCAACAATAAGAACCAGAATGGTATGGGCTGATTGGGCAAGGACACTGTTCCTGCCAGGACAATAGGTGGACAGTCAACCTGGGCCAGGGACTTACCAGTATGTGCAAGATTTACCACTGGGAGGAAACCAGATAGAGGAGCCTGGTGAATTCCTTTGTCAGGTTGCAGCCTCTGTGGCTAAGTGCAAGAATCAAGGCAAGGAGCAGCCCAAACCAGATCTGGTTACAGTACCCACTGGCATACATGTGGGTCAGGTCAGGGGGTGAGCCAGGCTGAGCCAGTTCATAACATCCACTGGCAGATCTGAGAACAGGGATGGAGTGCAGGATCTGGAGGGCCCTGTTCTCCTGGCCAGGTCTAGGGTCCACTTGTGTGGTGGGTGTTGGGTCTGTGAGTCCCAGCGGGGTTCCGGCAGGGTCTGGGTCTCCTGGCCCAGGTCCTTGGGCCCACCTGTGTGGTGGCTGCTGGATCCATGATCCCCAGGGATTGGGGATCCAGAGGGAGCTGTGTCTCCTGGCCCATGTCACTGGGCCCACCTGCATGCTGGGCACTGGATCTGTAAGTCTTGGGGGTGGGGGTCTGGTGGGCCCTGGGTTACATGGCCCAGAGCCTTGGGGCGCACCTGTGTGGTGGGTGCTGAATCCACGAACCCCAGGAGCATGGAGTCTGGAAGGGCCTGGGTCTCCTGGCCCAGGTTCTTAAGCCCGCCTGTGCAGTAGGTGCAGAATCTGGAAGCTGCAGGACTGGGGGCTTCCGCTTGGCCCAGGTTGCCTGGCTCAGGTCCATGAGCTCACCTAGGAGCTGGACGGCAGACCGTGGTGCACATGGAAGACATGGTAACTCACTGGGGCCTGCAGAGGACATTTGGTACCATATCAGAGAATGGAGAACAGAACATATGGACAATTACCCCAGCCAAATGATGACAGCAAATATCCGGGAGAATGGAGACTATAAAGTTGACTGTGTCAGCTAATGGACATTGGAACAGATTCCTCACCCATAGATCAGTGGGATTGACAGCATTTTGGAATGAAGCATGTGCCACATTGTGAACCTGGGTTAATGTCGGGTGGTCTTTCCCCATCCTCAGGTTCTGGGATGGTTGGGAAGCTGGGTATGGCCTATCAGCTTGTCTCCCCCTTCCTCCCAGAAACAGGAAAAAGAAATAGAGTTTGGAAGCAATGATCACACACACTTCACCCTAACTCTAGATTCTTCCCACCTTGATTGGTTGTGTAAACATCATCTAAAATTTAAAAAAATAATAATAATAGCTGTAATATCCCAGAAATGCTTCAATGAAGTGTTTCAACATAGAAGACCAATCAGTCCTACTACGTCTTTAAGCAATCAGGACTGCTGCTATGGCAGCCCACTACATCATTAATTTTTATAGTTAACTGTTGAATTATTATAAAGCATACATTGAGTATTTACACAGGTGCACATGATATAATGCATTTGCTGGTTTTTATATTTGTGAAAGAAACTTCTCTAATGTCATGACAGAAGAAAAATTATTTACCTTGTGTACTCATAAAGTGCTGGAACAATGCTTTGGTACTGTCTTTGGATAGCCAACAAGGCACCAATGTAGCCACATAATATGAGTAACTCATTTCTAGCTCTAAAAGAGAATAAACACATATTTTTATATCCCAGAAATTGAGGCACAGAATACTACTTCCTCAAACAGTTTATATACTGGTATCTATATCTTATGGGTGGCATTTTTATGTAAATATACTTAGCATTGTAAATTTGAAGATAAATATAATAATTCCTATTCAGACATTTGTGCTATATAATAAATTGTAACATAAAAGTATATAAATGTTAAGTCTTAAGTCTTGCCTGCTTGTTTTTCTCTACTCCCTGACTGATTCTTCATGTCACTAATCTTTAATTAACTCCTTTGGCCAAATTTAGGATTTCCTGGCACACTGTGTAGATTCTAGGAAAGGACAAACGATACCTACTACATCTCTTGGTGGGGAATTGCTTGTACCCCAGGTCGGTGCATCATGTTTTCCACACAGGTATTAAAGATGTGAAAGCCTCTTTTGCAAGTGTTACTTGAGTTTTTGAGGACTTCAGGCATACGGATTATAATGTCTTTAAATGGTTATTGAACTCAAGATGAAATCTATTGTCTACTTCTATGTATTTTTACTTCTTTGTGCAAGGTTTAGAAGATGCTTTTCACATAATGGGTATTTAGTAAATGTGACCACTAGTTTCTTGAGGACTTGGAAGTTCAAAATCATCTGAAACTTTGAACTAGTCTTCTTTGATCCAAGTGTGTATGTGTGTACACAAACACGCACATACGATCATATGTGAATTGCACATCACCAAATATTTCTACTATTGGTTAATATTTGTTTCAGTTGATTACTACATTTTTAAAGTAATTTCTCTAGGTGTTCAGCAGATATCATTCCAAGGCAATTCTGTTTCTTCATCTGTATACCAGAAACAACAGTCATTTGAAAACACAACAGAAGTTTACTTTGGTAATTTGGAGAGAAAAGTACTCACTCAGTACAAGTATGCAAAAGTAATTTCTCAGTACGAATGTAACTCAGAAGGTCAAGAACAGGGAAAATGGTATTCACTGTCCAATTTGCATTACTGATGGATTCTGGCAAAATAAAATCAAAGGGATAGATTTTTAAAATAGTTTCAAAATCTGTGCATACAACATTTAGCAGATATAATACCAGTTCTGCTAGTCGGCACTGTCTGCTTCTTCATTTTCTACGTCACAGTATTTTCCTATTCACTCCTCAGATTCTAAACCATACAATGGGAAGTGGCGTCACACTTTACATCAATATTCTGTCTCATTTTCAAATGTAGGATTGTTAGTGCTTTAAGATTCGGTATTAGTGTAAATGACAATTTCACATAAAAAGTAAATTTTAAATTATACTACCAGAAACTTACTTTTGATGAAAGCAATGCCAACAGGAAGGGCTTTCTCAGGTTCTTGACTTAGCAAGTAATACTTAACAGTTTCAAATACATTGCCATCTGCATGGGCTGTCTCAGCTAACTTCATACATTCTTCTACTGTGGGTAGTTTGCACTAGAAAACAATTGATTTGATGATAATGTCACAAAACATATAAAGATAAAAGCAATTGTGAAATATTTACAATACACTAGTATAAACTTGCCCAAAACTGATATAAATGACATTTTGGAGTACATGTATGGAAATATCTTTACTTTCTAAAAACAACTGCTGTCATCAGATAACAAATCAGTAGTTTTTCAATGCACAAATAAGTAATAAAAGTGTTAAGTGTAAGTGGGGCTGGCTCCCTGGCGTGGCATAATTTTCTGCCTGAGACACTGCATACACTTAATCACCAGTTCATGTCCCAATTGTTCCACTTCCATCTCAGCTTCCTGATAATGGTCTGGGAAAGCATCAGAGGATGGTCCAAGTCCTTGGATTCCTGTACCCATGTGGGAGACCCAGAAGTTGTTCCTGGATCCTGGCTTTACCCAGCCCAGCTCTGGCTGTTGCGGCCATTTGGGGTGTTTGGGGAGTAAACCAGTGGATGGAAATTCTTTGTTTCTCCTTCTCTCTGTAATGCTACCTTTCAAATTTAAGCATATATATATATTTACACACTTTAAAAAGGGGTATAGGCAAATTATTCTGATTATAATTTTGGAATTAGTGTCTACAAATAAAATAGGGCAATAATTTTGAACACATTTTCAAACATTTTTGAAATGTGTTGTTTTAAACAAACATCTTGATCATTGTCAAAAGTTACATTAAATAAAGCAAACTAAAAAGATGCATATTAAATGTCCTCTATACTATAATGTAATTTAACTTGGCTTTTGGGACAAAGTAAATTTATTTTGGAATCAAAAAAATAGCAATTGTAAATGGTGTTAGACTTAATATTCTGAAGTGTCACAAGGTGGAAAATTCCAGTATATAAAATTTTATTACCATATGATGAAAAAGCATCATTCCTTATTTTACCTTTTTTGATTTCTGCCTGAAATTAGAGCAGTTTGGATATCTTTTATGCATTTATAATTTTGGCTTCTTTTCATTTTTATTTGATATTTAAACTTTTTTTAATTTGAAACTCTGAGAGACAGAGAAATCTTCCATCTACTGGTTCATACCCCCTGGTGCCTGCAACAGCCAGAGCTGAGCCAGGACCCCAACACTCAATCTGTTTCCCACATGAGTGGTAGGGATCCACGTATTTGGGTTGTATGCAGTAGTAGGAAGCTTTGATTGGAAACAGAGGATATGGGTCTCACTCTAGGCATTCCAATATGGGATGCAGATGGCAAAGTGGTAGCTTATTCACTGTTTCCAAAGTTTGCCACTTTATGTATTTATGGCATATTTCTGGGGAGCACTAACCTACAGTTCAATGTTATGTTTTATTTATTGATGCATTTACTCTAATTGATTATTTTTAAGATTTAGTTATGTTAAAAGTCAGTGTCACAGAGAGACAGTGATTTCTCATCTGCTGTTTCACTCTCCAGCTGGCTGCCATGACCAATGTAGGACTAATCTGATATCAGGAGTCAGGAGCTTCCACCAGGGAACTAGCCAACTCAAACTGGTGCCCAAATGGGTTTCTGATGTCACAAGCAGCCACTATCCACTATGCCAGAATGCCAGTCCCTATTTTCTGCTGTTTTACTACTAGACAAATGAGCATTTTATACCTGTTTCATTTTTAAAATATAAATCAGAACTTACTTATTTACTGAGTAACTCTTATGTGCTAGGAAATAGTATACTTTCAAGTACGATACAAAAAGGAGAGCAGAATCATTCATGTAATCCTTGTTTCATCTTAAAATTCTGACAATCATATAAGTCAACATAAATTTGATCAGATAATTTTAACACTGTAAGTTTTTTCAGTTATTAACACTCTACACATACCAGAGAATATAATTATATCTTTAGAATGTATAATGAAATGACTGGGTGAATGCTTTTCTTCCCCTATTATTAAAAGCAGTTTAAACTTATAGATAAGCCATTCAGCTTCTTCAGGCCCTGATATTAACTTCTTCCCTCAGAGTGTACCTGCTACTATATTCAACCACCACACAATAAGTATAAAATACAGTTGAAGAAATCCTGCCTTTTCCTATGTGCACGTCTGTGTTCCAGTGCAAACATAAAAATAGCTTTCAGTTGTCAGGTTAAAAGCAAACATTTCTTTACTTAAAGAACAATTCAGGGAGTAAAAATTATATTTTAAGTTTCCAATAATCACAAATCACAGGTAACTTTGGGCATTTACTCTCAGATTTATCCTGATAAATCTCTCTCTCCTCTTTCTCTCCGTCCCACTCTTCTCTCTCAACACAAACACACACACACACACACACACACACACACACACACACACAGCTATACAACATCACTCACATAGATTTGTGGTTGATTGTATTAACAGTATACTTAGCTAGGAACTCGTATCTGTTGAATGACCACATCAACTCACTCTGGGGAAAAGTCAAGGCTCAAGTAAGTGAAACACAACTTTTTAAAGTTGAAAAGGAACCAATGCTTTACTTAGCTTGTACTTCTTAAAACAGAAATTCTAGGTAGCTTTTGAAACATGCTATAAACAAAACAACTATGCACAGTAGCAGTTATTTTCAAAATAAAGCCACACAGTATGTGCATAGTTTCATAATCTTTCTATTTATCTGGGTTTTGTAGTCACCTGCTTCATGTCAATAAAAATACAGCCTCATGATTTTTTCAAGGACTAACAGCATTAAGACACAGTAATGTATTGTAGTTCTTATCCATTTTTAACATTTTTGTTGTTTCATACATAATGTTTGACACAGATTCTTATATTCTACAGAGATGAACTTTTAAAATGCCTTAGGATAGCATGAATTTCATTATATTACATGAATTCTTTCAAAGATCCTAAGTCACCTATTTTAAAAAGCTACACACACAGCTTACAAAGCAAAGTGGTACAGTGGGAAAGACATGAAATCTCCAGTTAGAACTTCCAAAGTTGAAATTTTCATTTCCCCATTAAATATTTGGGAAGGCCCGGCACAATAGTGTAGTGGTTAAAGTCCGCGCCTTGCACGCACCGGGATCCCATATGGGCACTGGTTCTCATCCCGCAGCTCCACTTCCCATCTAGCTCCCTGCTTGTGGCCTGGGGAAGCAGTCAAGGACAGTCCAAAGCCTTGGGAGACCTGGAAGAGTTCCCTGCTTCAGATCGGCGCAGCTCCAGCCTTTGCGGCCACTTGGGGAGTGAATCATTCGACAGATGATCTTTTTTCTGTCTCTCCTCCTCTCTGTATATCTGCCTTTCCAATAAAAATAAATCTTTGAAAAATATATTTGGGGCAATTTCTTTACCTTCTCTGAATCTGTAAAAATAGAGCAGCGTTGCTTATTTTTAGAAGTTGCAGGAGAGTTAGTATGTAAAGATTTCGAACAATACCAAGAACATAATAGAAGCCGAGGAAGTGCTCCCTCTTGGTGTTTTCATTGCTGCTGGAGTTAAGACTGTCTCCAAGGGATCATCCATTTGTTACTCTGCATGTTTCTCTATATTTTTAGAACCTAAGTTAACTCCTGGAACTGCATTCAAAACTAGAACTTCTGATACGGCATACCTTCTCATGAAGATCATTTATCTCTTCAGTGCACCCTGGGTAGAAAGCACAGAGCTTTACTAAGTGCAGTTCATTGTCAGGAGTCATCAGAAGAAGATCAGCTGCCAAATTTCTGTTTTCATGAAAAGGGAAAACTTATCAACACTCAAAAATATTCAACAGGAAAGAAATTCAAACTACATATAATTTGTTTTTCTACTTACACAAATAGTTTTAAATTCCTACCTATGAGATTAATTTAATACAAATTACAGAAACCAAAGGGTATGAAAGAGAAACATTTTGTGGAATTCCTAAACATTTTTAAAGTCCAAGTTATAAGAATCTATATATTTATTATATAAAGACTTGGTTATTATTACATGATGTCTAAGATATAAGATTCGTTATGTATTTATTACTGATTTTATTGTTTATATTTTATTACATTTTAACAATTTAAATATATTTAACATATGGTTTATTGTAATTTAATATATTAAATACATTAACTAGTAATATATACTAAATTTAATTAAAATGTATACAGAACATACATTTAAAATATATTTACATGGTTATAATTCATATTGAAAATATTATATAAACATAATGAGATTATATTTAAACTAATATTTTAGATTACACATAACATATATAAAACATATACTTTAATGTGTATTTAATTATGACTGCTATTAAATATTAGATAATATACCACAATAATAAATATAACTTATAAAAGATATTTGTGATTTTATAATTATATATTTATTACATTAAAACATTTATATCACATGAGTTTAGCATATGAGAATCTTCATATATTTATTATTGATTTTATTATTACAGATAAATTCCCTAGCCAAGATGAGTAGTTTAGGCACATTCTTTGGAGCCAGTTATAAAGGAATCTTTGTAAGGGCTAACTCCCAATAATTTTTGTTACATGTGTTAATAGTGGAAAATTGTATAGCCAGATCACTGAAACTAGTAGAAGGCTTAGAATTTTAGATATCTTGCAAACTTTTCTAAATTTAGGTGAAAAATCAAAGATGAAAGTGAAGTTTCCCTATTTCTTGTACACACTGAAAATTTTGAGTTTTAAAAAACAGAACATTGTAAGGATTATGAACTTCACATTAAAATTTATATATTTTTTTCAAACTATTGATTGTGAAGTTTTTGGCTGCCTGTAGCATAACTGAGAAAAAACCTTATTTTCAATTATTCATGCTATTATTTGGTTTTTAATAAATTGAAATAGATATTCAATATGACTTTACAACTGATGATATTTTATGATTTTATAAAGTTATATGCTAGGGGTATAAATGTAAAATCCTTATTCTTTGTGAAGACTTCAGAAAAATTTTAGTTGGTCATTCATTATACTAATCAACTAATTCTAAAAATAGGAAAGGTGTCTAATCAAATATATGGTTAGATGAAAATGGAAATGGAGGTAATTTTCAACCTATCATGAAAAACAAAAATTTCTACTTAAAAAAAACATCAAAAACTATTAAGATAGTAATATTGAATTAAACTTATTTTAGTTTTTAGAATAAAACATTTTAAAGAGGTATAAAATTATTATAAAACATTTTAATAATTCAACAGTCCACTAATAACTAAGATTCTAGATGATGTCAATAAACTTCAAAAGAGAGTAATGAATGATTATATTATTTCCTCAAGTTATTTAACATGAAATGTTTAATTAAAATTAAATGTAATGTGTAAGTATCTTATTTTCTGTTATCATTGAGCAAGTAAATCATTCAGTATTTTCTATGTTTCAAATTATAGTGGTTCATCTGTTCTGCCTGAGAAGGTACTTTTAATAGCAATTATAATTAATATCCATAAAAAGTTATCCTTTAGCTTTTACTGTATATAAGATTGCTACGCCAAAATTTTGTTCAAATTTTTATGAACTTATCACAGAATTATTTGTCAGATATTGAAATCTATAATAAACCAGTCAATTTTATTCTCTTTTATTTCACCATCTTTTAAAGACTTGAGCCACAGTTCATTTACTGTAAAAAAATTAAGTCTCAATCTTATGATATGTACTTATATACAGTTTATTGTTCTCATTGCTTTGCAGTTAGGTTTTATGTGGTTTCACTTATATAAATTACATATATACATTATTTGACTTATTGTAAATCAAAGTGAAAATATTTAATGAACATGTTTTCAAATGAAACTAGAAAATACCTGTATCCAACAGATGGGAAGCTAAAAAGAAAATACTGAGTATAAATATCAAGAATATACCAAGTGACAGCAAATTTTACTAACAAACATAAAAGCAATTGAAGTATGTTTGGTTTATTACATAATGAACATTCTCCTTAATCAGCTTGCAGATCTGCAGAATTCTGCTTAACTGTGAAGAGTCTACATGTCCCTGAGAAATTAACCTCATACGCACTGTATTTTTGGGATTTTGAACTGTACTTTAGTTTCTACTACATACATCGAGGGATTTAGATATTAAAAATTCTTCAGGGAAGTGCTTAGATAAAGAGAAGTTTGAATTTGATGAAAAGTTATGAAGATCTAGTCTTTGCATATTTAAACTTATAAAAATTTAATGTATAACTGCTGTGTTGTATTTTCATCTGGTCCCATCTGATGTAGACGAGATGATGACTTAGAATCAGCCAGCCACCTTTGTGAATAATCTGGTCAGGCTTCATGCTTTAGAACAGGCTTAAGGCAAATCATGATAACTATATAATATTCAACTTCACAGTTCTTGACATATGGGCAACAGTATTCTGAGATAAAATTCTAAAATAATTTTTAACCCAGCACACTTCTCTGTAATGCAGAATGATGTATTTCCTCAAGGTAACTCCATTATGACTGGATTGTCTGAACTAAGATGTGGCTCAGCAGATGTGAGCTGGAACTACTCGCACTTGGAATTCCTAGGATCTAATTCTTGGAATATAGCCACAGTTTGGAAGTTTGGCCCACAATTTATGTTACTGTTTTCCCTTACAAAAATGACTTTTTCCTAGAGCTTCAACCAGAGCACATGATCTAACAAGAATATGTAATGATATGCAGAATTTTAAGATGTGGAATGTATTGTTCTGGCAATTTTAGGAATCATACATTTGTTGTCTCTTGATATTGAATGTGGTTGAAACATGGAACTAAGTCACTTCAAAATGGGTTGCAGTAAATTTTATTATAAAATGATGATCATGTTTGTCAGTACTTCTTTTGTGTTTTGCCATTCTCACAATCTAATCTTTCATAAAAAGATCTTATATTCTCCCAAAACATACCAAACGTAGTTTACAATGTTAGTTTTCAATCACTGTACAATTTTCTTTGAGTTTAGAAGTTCTTACCATGTTGAAATCATCATGCATTTTCTTGCCAATAATTCTAGGGCATAGTGGGTTGCTGGTGCAGCAGACTCTCCCAGTACTGTGCCCACACTGACTGCCAACTCCAGTTCATTTCCACGAATCAGGTATGCCATAGCAAGCTTGCTCAATAAGAAAATAATTTCTTCAGTTGCATAGATGCTGGGTAGGATCATCATTCCCTTCCAAGCTCATAAAGTAGATAAAGTAGTATTAACCTATAAATCAATTATTCTTATAAAATATTGATTGTAACACTCCTATAAAGTACCTATGAAAGAGTAACTGCAATTTTCAAATGCAAAAGTTGATAATAGGATACAGGACATTTTATCAGGTCAGAATTTTAGAGTTTAGAACTCTTGCTCCTACTTTTATATTTAAACAGTAAATTCCCAATGTTTTCAACATGTTGTTCATTGTTCCTATTAGAATAACACAAATATTTTTGAAAGACTCTTCAATCTCTTCAATGTTCAGGCTAAATATATTTAAGAATAAATATAAAATATAATTTTAACTTGATATTTTATTAATGGTTCAAATGTTATCTTAAAGTGTAACTTGTAAGGAATATATTAAATTATTTACAAAAATAAGCACTTCACTTTGTATTAGTTCTTGTATTCTAACAAGTATATGTGAAATGGGTACGGTAGGTACTCAGAGTTGAGAATCTTTGAGACTCCACCAGGTAATATGACATGCCAAAGTTAGCATGTGACAGAAACAGGACTCAAACTGAGACCTTTCAAGTCCAGTTCAGTTATTTCTCCCTTTACATGCCACCATTTCCAAATATATAATGGAATATTTCAAGGAGGTTGTTATAAACATTAATCTTAGGATAAAAAATATGCTTATTAGGTACACAATCACTCAAGCTTGGAAAACATGCAAAACTTGACTTCACAGAGGAAGTTACAACATCTTTCTACCTAAAACATCATCAAATATTGAAATGTGTAAGCAATTGAATGTTGTACCTCAATATCATCTACAGCTAGGTGGCAACATGCAGCTAGCACTGCTCGACCATCCTGAAAATACCATTCTGCAAGGTCCTTAGTGACTTTGTGCAGGAGTCTAGAAAGAGAACAACAAATATTCTGTACATACACAAGGAATCTACCACAAAAGTGAACCAATGCCTTATTACAACGGTGAATGAAGGATCAAGTAAAATTAAATTTGACACTCCAGATTTAATATAAAGCTTTATTTTTGACAAAAACAATCAAAGAAGCAGTCTCCAAATCTAAGATCTTCCTTTACTTCTGGTTCTTACAACTGTCAGAAGAAAAGCCTGGTTTTCAAAACGTGTCATTCCTCATTGAATAACTTATGAGCCATCTAAAGGAGTGGTTAGCTTTAAGAGAACAACAATGAATTTTTCAAAATTCATCTGAAGTCAAAACATAACTCATATGGTGTATCTTTAATACTGACACATTTCAAAGTGGCAGAGAAGAGCAGCACAGAACCAGGACAGATATGCAGTGCTGCCAAATTCTATACTTAACATTACAAGACTCTTTTTAAATTGATAAGGCTCCAAAGTTTAAAAATCCGATCTTTTAGGACAATATTTGGATCCAATAAAAAGAGAAAGAGAAGGCAGAATGTCAGATTTTTAAAAACTGTCAGAAGGCTGAAATTTTCTATATGTAATAATAGGCATCTGAACTTGTTTAAATGAGGACTAAATGTTAATCCAAACACAGATTGGCTCATGGGATTATAAACTTCATTACTGTGATAACATATTTACTGGCTTTATAGAGTAATAAGCAGCACATTTTTTCATTGTCTGTCTTCCCCACAGATTGGATAAACTTAAAGTTCTTAGGAGTTTTACTTGCAGCTTCTGTACTCAAATTCATTTTGCTGTTATGAAAAACTATATTAAATGTGTATAACTCATGTGTACCAAGTCTGCCAACTCATGATTTTTCTAGGCGTGGATATGGAAACAGAACCAGATAAAAGTGAGAAACATGGAAGCCAGCTTCTCAGAATACAAAAAAGATGAACTACGTGGCCCTCAAAAATTTATCAAAGGAAAGCAACCTTAAAAAATATTTATCTAAAACAGAATCAATCACTCACTCATTATAGTCTTCCTTGTAGATTTCATCAGTACAGGAAGCTCCTTTAGGTGTAGAAATGTGTAAGGTTTGAATGCTTCCTTCACATGCAGCCTGGAATTTAATTAAACCTTTAATTAGTCTTTAGCTAAGTACTGACAAATAATTTCAGAATATTAATTTGAGAAAAATGAAGGTTCCAGTAAATGATGATTAAAAGTGAAGCTGTTCAAATGCATGGCATTTAACATTTAGCACAATATGAAAAGTTCAGCAATGTTTGTATATTTAAAGATCTAAAGTAAATTGAATGTGATCAGAACAGAGTATGATTGAAATGTTGAGGCGGAAGGCTGAAGTGGACAGAATGCCAAGCCATTATTAACTCTGCCAAACAAATGATTGATGAAGGTGAATCTCAATCCAGTCTCCCTCCTGCATGCCTGCACACCAACATGTGTGGTGTGTATAATAAATCAGTTGTACCTGTGCAACAAGCAATGCTTCTTTAAGTTGGCCTTTTGACATAAAAAAATTGACTAGCTTCTTCACATCACCAACAGCTATGCAGTATGGAATGACATCATCTTTATCTTCCTGTATTAATTGGTCAGCTCTCCTAAAACATGAAGGTAATTTAAAACAAATAATTACTAATTTTACTTGAAAGTCAGAATTATAGATTGAGAAAGAGAGAAACAGAGAGAGAGAGGTTTTCCATTCTCTGGGTCACTCCCAAAATGGCTGCTAAGGCCAGAGCTGGATGGGTCAGGAGCTGGAAGCCAGAGGCTTCTTTCCAGTCTCATGCATACGTGCAGCGGTCCAAGAACTTGGGTCATCCTCTGCTGTTTTCCCAGGCCACTAGAGGAAGCTGGATCCGAAGTGGGGCAGCTGGGACACAAACCAGTGCCAACACAGGATGTTGGCACTCTAGGTTAAAGATTAGCCTACTACACCACTGAACTGGCCCAAGAGTAATTTTTTAAAATGATTTTAATTGAAACATTTCAAATATTTCAGTTGGACTGAGAGTTTCTGAAAGGATGTAAACCGTGGAAATTTTCACAGAATACTCTGCAATTTTGTTTTAGAAATTTTATTTATTTGAAAGTCAGATTATGTGTGTGTGAGAGAGACAGAGGAAGACAAAGAGAGGCAGAGAGAGAAAGAAACAGAGAGACAAAAAGAGAGCTCTTCAATCCATTGATTCACTCTACAAATGCCCACAAGAAAAGATCAAGTCAAACCAGGAGCCAGGAGCTCCATCTGGATTTCCTGTATAAATGGTAGAGACTCAACACTTGAACCATCACTGTGCTGCCTTTCCAGGGTGCACATTCACAGGAAGCTGAACCAGAAATAGCTGTGGAACTCAATTCTCGGCATTCTGATACATGACACAGGCACCCCAAGAAGAGAGTTAACCTGCTGAGTCAAAACATCCTATCCTGCGAAGAATTTTTTTTTTTTAAGATTTAGACTTAGTAGTCAAATCATATATGAAACACAGGTATTTTTACAATAATAAATACCCGTGATGATGTGGGACCTTTTGAACACTACATATCTCCATATTTTAAATTCCCCCCAAATGTAAAAAAATCCTGCACTTAAATTTCAACTTCAGTCTTGTTTAAAATTTTAGCCTGATATTTAATTTATGCTGATGTTTGCAACAGTGAATTGGTATAGTGATTTAAAAAAAATTAAAGATTCATTTTAGTTTTATTGGAAATGCAGATCAGATTTACATAGAGGAGAGACATAGTGGAAATTCTTCTATCTGTTGGTTCACTCCCCAAGGACCACAACAGCCAGAGCTGAGCAGATCTGAAGTCAGGAGCCAAGATTTTCTTGCAGATCTCCCACACAGTTGCAGGGTCCCAAGTCTTTGGCCGGCCTCTACTGGGGAGGACGTGAGAGTTATGTGGGAAGTGGAACATCCAGGACATGAACTGGTGCCCTTCTGAGATCTGGGCCATTGCAACGTGAAGATTACTACATTGAACCATTGTGCCACCCCCCTCCCAAATTATAACATGTTGCCCACTTAGCTTATGATAACAGTATGAAATCATTGAATCATTGGGGTATTTCTCAAATTATGCATTTATTGGAAATAAATTTCAGTGCTGTAGCTGTTTATAAATAAACTAACTAGAAATCAGTTTTAGACATTCCTGGGCCTTTGGAATTAGGATTGACAACTGTCAAATCAATTTCTGCTAATTGCTGGATCAATTATGAACCCAGGAATTTGAAGGAGGCCATTTTCTGGTCACCACATGGACTACGAGTAGAAAAAATCAGATACTGGTATTCAACGATAAATGAAGTAAAGTTGAAAGAGTTGACTATATTCCCCTTTGTCTCCTTCTCTCTTATCTCTTTCCCTTGTAACACATGCTAATACTGATTTGATCTCCTTCCTACCGAAAAATGCTCTTACCAAGTCAACAATGCCTTGACCCTCAGATTCAAAAAAGTTTTTGCTGAGGTTGAAAGAATATCTTGCACAGTAAATATCCTCTGCTGTCTTGATTTGATTAAGGATTCTGTACAGAATTAACATTCACAAGTATGTTGTGAGGATAAAGGAATTTAGGAGTTTTGAGATTCTAGAGCTTAGGACAGAGGGCATTCAGTCTGTAGGCCAGAGCCAGCCTGCTTGTTGTTTAACATATCACTGGGAAAGGAGATGCTCGGGAACAGTCTACTTTCCCACTATAAATGTGCTAATCCTTCTGGATTTGATGGCTTGGATTATCATTGATACTAATCTCTGTGTGTAATAACAGTAGCTATTTTCTCAGAGGCCATGAAAAAATCAAAAGTTCTCTCTTTGATGCCAGAAGCAAGGTAATTACTCTTTATAAAGTGCTCCTACAGGGCTTGCAAAGGGATTGACACATAATGTGCACTAAATAAGTATTTATTGAAAGAACTGAACATTTGTATGTTGTAGAGACATAATGTGTCCACCAAAAGGCATGTTGAAGCTCTATTCTAAGGCTCCTGTAAATGTATCCCTACTTCAAAACAGAAATTCTGATTGAGTAATTATTTTAGTACATATAATTCCAGATTATAGTAGATCCTAAAAGTCATCCAACTTATATCGTTTTAAGAGGATATTTGGGCACCGAGACACACAAGGGATAATGACACGTGAGGATCAGGCAGTAATCAGAGGGAGGTAACTACAAAATCACATGATGGGAGAGGTTGCTTGCCACTACCACAAGGCAGAGAAGCATGGAAGTGGTTCTTCTGCATAAATTATAGCAGGAATAAACTCAACCAACAAATAAAATCAGAATTTCTAGTCTCCAAAACTGTGACAGTAAATTTGTGCTGCTTTGGATCAAGTGAACTGGATTACGTCAGTTTGTGAAGACAATCTTTGGATTACTAATACATTAGAGAAAAAGCCTTTTTTGGTTTATTGTATTCTAAAGCAAGGACATTTAATAATTCTTTTCCCACCAGCCAGAAATTTGTCAGCAGAATCTCTCATCAATAGAGAGGAGACAGTGAAAGTGTCTACACAGAAATTTTGAGATGATTTATGACGCAGTGTTCTGCAGACTTCTGGAAACCATGAGAAAATCTTATTATGTATATTTCAATAGTATATCTTTTTATCCACTGATAAGAGGGAATTTTGCCTTTTACTATTTTCTTTTTTATATATATATATTTTTTAATTATTACATTTTGACATTCTTTACATAGTTAATTAGGGTAAAGATTCAAGGGCTACAGGAACGTGGGAAAGACCATTATTTTTTCCATATTGTCTCCTTCATGCTTAAAGGGGGGTATGAAGGGAGAAGGCCCACTTCAGCAGAGTTGAGGTCAAATACAAGAACACCATAATGACTTACAACTGATCCATTTCATTTATTGTAGCCATGAATACAATGTTTAGCTATTAAAAAAAATAAGGGTAAGAAATCTCAAGAATTACTATCATAGTTGTATACGATACTCTGTTATAAGTAATTGGAAAACATATGCTTGTACACACACTTTCTTCCTTACCTCTGCATTAGCTTCTTCCAGTATTTCACAGAGACCCCTGGTGCAATGGACAGTGCTTTGTCCCACTAGGGTAGAAGGCAAGAAGAGCAGAAGCAGGTTTGTGTTGATTATAATCTGAACAAGTTTTTAAAATTAAGTTATTTGTATTTATAACAGAGTTTTACAGTCCTATGTATATTTTCCTAACATGCATTTCATGCAAAATAATTTTAACATAGTTTAAAATAAAAGAAGAAATGCAAAGTCCAAAGGGAAAGTTCACTTCCAAACCTAGAGAACAAGAAAGAATAGAAACAAGCATAATCATATTCTTAAGATTTTTACCTATGAACTACATTAAATCTGTTTTCTTTATATTAAAAAAATGGAAAGGGACAGAAAGGACAAGAGTTTGAAAAAATATAGATTAACTCTTCTTCCGATGTAATGCCATAATAATGTGTTCTATGATAGTCTGTCCGAAATTACACTGCAATTGTTATTTCACTGTTACCTAAATTTTCCAAATAAGTCCTCTGTTTCTATTATATTCTTACCTTGTCATATTTTATACACGTAATTGCCATTTCTTCCTTTACAGGTGATAATACTTCATATTTTCAAAACTGTACTGTTACATGAAGAAGCTTGAATTCAATCAAGACTGACTATATAATTTGTACATAAAAATATTTATTTTACTGAATGAAAAGCTAGAAGGAAATTGAAAATATTCTGGGAAAAAAACCCTATATGAATCAAAATATCATTTTAATTAAGGCCTTCCAAAAAGTATTCTACTGAAATTAAGAATAAAATGCAAATTAACCTAAAATAATTTAAAAGTTTAATAGGGAATTTTAATACCATATATTTATGTCATATAAAAGACAATTTAAAATTGAGACTGCATAAAAGAAGTAAAAACATAAATAGTTAACTTTAATTCACTAAGTTATATAATAAATGTGTTGAGTTAAATGGAAGGATTCAATATGTTAACTCCATAATATTAAACTTATATAAATAGAAAATATTAAGAGATGACTATGAACAATTACAAGGACACCCATAATTGCACACAAATGTAAGCAGTTTTATGAACTTGTCCATGAACTACATAACAATATAACTATTAAACAGGCAGACAGTTGACTCAGATAGGCTTGGAGTTCAGATAGTTTAAAATGAGATATATTCAAATGTGAAATTTAATAAGATAAAGAATTACAGTTTACACCAAAATTATTTGTACATTTTCTCCTCGACCTTTGATCATTTTTAAATAACGCTCTGTGAGAAAAGGAATTTTAAATCAATTATTTACTACTTTCTTATCGTTTCTAAATTCTTTTAAATTTAAAATTCCTTTCAAATATCATTTTTAAATGATACTAATTTAGAGCAAGTTCTAATTCATTTGGCAGGTTAAAGAATTGGAGAACTTTTACTGGACTAAGCTATCTGTTCAGAAAACAGAAAGTCTGTTTTCATAATTCTGCACTGTTCACACACTGAAGATACTCCATGTATCCAAGACACAGACTCAAGTTACAGATGCTCCCAATTGCTGCTGTGGTCCAGTCTCATTACTACAGACCCAACAAAGCTCGCCACTGTCGGCATAGATCAATCTTTTCCTTTTTGGGAAAGTGTTTTTTTTGCTATTTCTCTATAAAAATATCAGAAAGGGTCTTGAGCAACATAATTCATCAATTCTTCTTCAGGTCAGTGTAAGGTTGGAGTATGACAAACAGCATTAATAAAGGAATTTCACTGTGAGAATACCAACCATGATAGGTATATTTTAAGAAACAAAGATTTTAGTCTAAGTTTTGCTCCGGTTTTCGAATGTACATGGATCACCAGAAGGTTTTATGGAAACACACAGTGTTGGGTTTATCCCCAAAACTTCTGATTTTGCAGGTCTGGGATGGGCATAATTGTCTTACCAAATGATGCTGATATTGTAAGCCTACTGCTAGTAATAACTGCTATTTCAGGGCTAACATCTGGTTTAAATCTGTAGGGAATCAATTACATGCAGACAAAAATAAAGCAGTTAAAACTTAAAACTAAGTATAATCATCTGTTGAATGCTACTGTAAATTTCTTAATTTTGTTTTTCAATAGCACTTTACCTCTCCAAGTTCAACCATAAGTTCACAATATCTCTGAATTTGTCCTAATCTCAAGTGTATTTCAGCAGCTTCCTTTAGTCTTTCCTCTTTAGTAGGTACGCCAATACCACCACCAAATTTAGACATCTTGACTGTTGTCAGTTCTTGGGCTTCAGACTGATTAAAAAAAAATAAATAGTTTTTTATTATCTAAGATATGGAATTAATGGATAATCATAAAAATATCCTATAAATAAATGTTTTTTAAAAAAGCAAATATTAGAAATTTAATACTAAAATTATTTTCTCCAGAAACTTCATAATTCATTAAGCCATTGCTTTGTGTGGGAGGTGGGTGAAGACCGAGAGAGGTTTCTCCTTAAAATATTCTATGTATTGTGGTATACAAAAGTCCTGAATCCTGAGGCCAAAGGGTAGTGATAGAGTGATAAGCTGATCAAAAAATAAAGAGCCCTAACAAACAAATAAAAATCACTACCACATTTCAGTTGGTGTTTACACTGCTAATAGTTTGATTTAAAATGTACTTCCACTTTGTAAAAACCAACTTCCATTTCAGCATCAAATCCAGATCCCTGATACAAATCTCCTCACGCTCTAAAATTAATCATAATTAGCCATTGATATTTCATTGAAAATATATAAACTGTTCTTTCTGGCTTCAGGATGAGTTTCATTGTTGATATTGGAAAATTTCCCAGGAATCAAGTTGTTAACGTTTTGAAATCCATTCAGCTACAGTATAACCAGGTTTAATAAAACACATCCCTCAGGATAGACCGTTAGACCTTCCGGGATCAAAATCATAGTATATTGCATCACTATCCTTGCATAACAGGGTAAGAATAAAGCATTTCAAGGAGTTCCAATGATGTTTGAAGAGTATGATGTCAACTTTTCAAGGCATACACTTTCAAACAATTTATGTTTTCATGATTTTATTCTCTAAGACTCATCTCGTCCCTATTCACTTACATCAGACTGCCAAACTAATTACAAATGTCCCCATGATACACAGAAGGTACTTTAAAATGCTGGTGGAAATGGGATTAAAGGATATTGGTTTTGGGGTAAAATATTTTTGATGTTCATGTATAGGTTTTTCATAATATGAATTTCTTGAACTTTCTATAAGATCCCTCTTGCATGTATGTGTATATACAGTACCCTTTTTACTGCATAAAAACAAAACAAATGCTGTGTACACCATATTTCCATCTTTCCTTACCGTTCTAAATTTAATCAGATGTTTTAAATGCATTATTCCTTTGCAGTAATTCTGAGGAAGTAAGCTATCATCTTGTCCTTTTATCACAGCAACCAAATTCCACAAATTGTCACTGCCACCTGGAGGCTAAAAAGTTTATGTAAGATATCCAAAGATGTAATGAATTTTTAAAATCCAGATTTTCTATATCTTTAAAAATAACACAATGTACATATATATATAATGAAAGATGAGCAAAATAATGACTATAAATTATTCTACTTACTGTACTGTACAGATTATATTAAGACAGCTCTTTTGGGTTTGGGGTTCTCAGTGATTTTTCATTTTGGCTAAAGGAAACGGTAAGGTTTAATTCCTGTGATACTTACCGACAAGCATTCCGAAAACCACCTGAGCTTTTTCGCTCGAGGATCACCGGTGTGTTTCTCTATTTCCTGTTTAATGTCTCTTGACACTTTACCACACAGTAGAGGAGGGGTGCCTTGTTCGATAACATTATCTGAAGAACAGACATAATTCAGTGAGAAATGAATCTTTATAAAATGCTATTTGAAAATAAACTCTCACACATGAATATGTGTCGTACCAGTGTTACCAATAACTTCCTCCCAAGTTCTGTCTACCAGAATATTGATTTGCAAAGGAGTAATTAAAGGTGTTAAAGACCAGAGTCTCACTGTTGAGTCACGGGAGCAAGAGGCCATAGTGAAGGGACGACTTGGATGGCATGTCAGACCTGGAGGGAAAAAAAAACCTAGTATAATGAGACAAAACATTTAAAAACACCTTCTATCTATGAAGCTTCCTAGAAATGAATTATGGAGAAATATGAATAACTGAAAGGTTGTCATGATCAATCTTCATTTACACTAATATTTTGGCTAAAATCATATAAGAATGCAACAAATCATTCAGCATATTATATAAATATGAGCATAAAATTGGATAATTATAGTTATTAGAAAACAAATGGTCCTGGCTGAAAATATTGAAACCATATTTCATTTGCTTAGGCAACATATATAATATTAGTAGCGAATACAGTAACTATGAGTCAAAAATCAGAGACTTTTTAAGTTTAAAGCATCAAAAGATAGAATATTCTTGTACACTCAAAGTCACATTGCCTCAGTGAAAAATATATACAAATTTGAATGATTTGACTGGGGTTACTTTCTCTAAGGATTTAGTTTTGTATTATTAGTCCACCTTTTCCTCATCAAAGATTGGACATGAAGGGAAATACAAATTTAAAATACAGTAAACTGAATGGCGAATGATAATACCAGCTCAATTATACTCAACAGTTATTATCTTATTTAAAGACAAAATGGCTAAATGGCATGGATAAATCATATTTTCTCTATCATTAATTTCCTGTTCTAAATTTACCTCATGTAATGACAAGGGAAAAAGCAAATACAAGTGTTCCTGTTACAAACTAGGCAGCTGTAAAAAGTTCGTTTTAAATTCCATTTGTCCATGAACTTTTTGAAACTCCCTCATGTGAACCCTGGATGTCTGCAGGTGTGCCTTGTTTGTGAATGCAGAAACACTGATACTCCTTGGCAGACAGAGATGGAGGGAGGGAGAGAGAAAGTATATGAGACAGGCATGAAGGAAGAGAGACAGACACACACACACAGAAAATAGTTACCACATGCTAACAACACATCCTCTGGACATACCTACTGTTTTTTTTTATCTTGTTGTTTACGTGTTCTGATAGCTCAAAGATAAATATTCATATTTCATCATGGAAAAATACGCAACCTAAAATCGAACTCTGCAAAACTTTAAAGGCACCATTTTCTTAAAATACAAGCACCGTTAATATATCATTATAATACATGAAAAACACCTTACCATATACATCTGCCCCATGATCATAGACAGTATCCAGACAAGTTCCTTCCCTGGTGTCCCACACTTTTATAGTATAATCCCAACTGCCAGATACCAGTAGATATGGAATTTCAGTATTCCACATTAATCCCCTTACAGGTGCAGTATGTCCAGAAAGAATATTTATGCAAGCATCTTGAGTATAATCCCATATTCGAATAGACCTGAAAACAATAGCACAAGTATAATTCAAATTATAATTTATCCAAAATATTAACATATTAGTGGACCACATGATTTTTAAAGCATTTAAAAGCTTTATAACAGAACCCAATAATTAGTTACCTATTTTAAAATGTTTTGTTTTTGGTTTTTTAGTTGTTATCTATTACTGATGGTAAATTCACTATTCCACAATTTGTACATGAAAATTGCATCTTAAAATGAAATATGCACAACACATGTAATCACATGTAATATGTCTAATAACAAAATAATTTAAAATCACTCAAATTCCCATCATCATGAAAGTATATAGTATATACATATACGCATTTGAAAAATCATTTAATATTTATGCTTTTATCAATGGAGTATATCACTACTTTATATTTTGTTTAGTACACAACTTGTCTGAAAACTATAGAACCAACTTCAGATCGAGTAAAAATATGAAATGTAGTTGAATTAATTGTACTTGACCTCATTATATATTTACTAAAATTAAATTTTCAAATCAAAATCAATTTATGATTTTTCAAATAGCAATTTGACTTTCACAATCAGTATAATTTTTTTAGTTTCAGACTTGCACAAAGTGGCAACACAAAAAATAAGATGCTAAAGATTAAATTCATGGAACTGGAGGCACATTAATTTTTTATTGCTTTAACAAATAGCTCTGCTTTACATAAAAGGTCCTCTTTCTTCTGATCTCCCTTATCTTGGCCCTATAAATGCAGCTGGCTCTCTTTATCTGAAAATTTCTCATTCACAAATTCAATAAACACCAGATCAAAAATATTTTTAAAATATTAATTGTATCTATAGTGAACATGTATACAGTTATTTCTCCAGGTCATTATTACTTAAGCAATACAAAATAAGAGCTATTTTCATAGTCTTTCCTTTGTATTAGGTATTGTAAGTAATCCAGATGTGATTTAAAGTTGATGGGCGGTATGGGGAGTGGAAATACTATTCTATTGTGTACAAAGAATCAGAGCAGCAAAGTTTAGAATACATGGCAATCTGGAGTGCTGGGACCTTATATCCAAATACAACCTAACAAATTTTTGGTGTATTTAATATTTTAATGTTGATATCTAAAGTTTCAAAATAAGTTAGTGCTATCGTAGGAGCCAATGAGATAGTTCCCCTTCCTTCTACAAAACTGTTATAAAGTCACAACACAGGATTTTTGGCCAAAATTTAAATTGTTTTGGATCCACTGAAATTACTTACATGGTAATCACCTGATTGGGAGTACAGTTTTATCTTACAAATACATACATATCTAGAAAAATGTTAAGCTCAAGGCTTACAGAACAGAAAATTTAGAATATAACAATATTACCCATCATCAGAACCACTGCAAAGAACTCCCTCCCTCAGAGGAGACCACTTAACATGAAACACTTTTGCTGTATGTCCATTAAATATTTTCAATGGTTGATCGGAACTGGTAGCTACATAGTAAACACGGACGTTTTTGTCTTCACAGCCAGTGGCAATCATGTCCCTGAAAATTCAACAACGGAGCATTAGAATGTGAAAACTTGATGTTATTTGTTACTGAAAATTTTTACAATATACAACAGTTCTAATTTCTAAAGCCAAATTCTTAACAAGGTTAGACAAAATCCTTACACATGTAAAAATGCTAACCACACTACTGGTCATTTGCAGAAACAATTTTAGGACATAAAGTATCTCAGTGTTCCATTTAAATGAGTTGTTTTGTATTTTGTGGATCTAAATTGATTAGTAACACATATTTACACATTTTTTATCAAACTGTTCAGACTTGTTAACTTCTTTCTTAACTTTTCTATCATGGCACTATTAGCTGTTAAGAATCCCTCATGGCTAGTAATAAAATTTGATAACTAGAAGTTAGGATTACTATTACATGTCCTGGTCATTGTTAAATTTGTTGTTGTTGTTGTTGTTGTTGTTGGCGGTGGTGGTGGTATGTGGGGACAAAAAGCAATGTTCTCCGCTGAGAGAGGCTGAGAAGAATCACTGCAGACCAAGGTTGTCTCACAACACAGTAAGTTACACTGCAGTTTTCCATTCCTCTCTGGTGGATTTTCCCCCTTAAGATACTTTCTGATCTTTTAATGTCCTTTGTTTCTTATTTTATCAAGAGTAAATTAAAAAAAATAAAAACTACTCAAACTCTAATAGTGGAATACAAAGAGGCAACAAATGTCTATGTAAATCTATCCTCCTAACTTTACTCAATCAAAATGCCCCCTTTCCAGGATGCATTTGCATTATTCCAGATTTAAAGGATGCTTGCCATAAAAATGTGGATATTGAGCTTCTTGTGGAACCCATGGGGCTCAAGTGTCTTCATACCTGGAGAGGCACCTCCACCCAGACCTCTTCAGGAGGTCACTGACAGGAAGGTGCTCTCCCGCAAGAGACCATGGGTGTAATCTGAAAATCAACTCTCAAAACCCTCCTAAAACTTCCAGTTGATAGCTTCAACACAAGGGTTAAAACACAGAAATACACCAGTTTGTGAACTGGATGTCCATTTGTAAGTGCTCAGATTACATCTTCCAAAGACCCACTGTTAAACAGATTAGTTTCTACATTTGAGAAAAGTATGCTTTACATATATACATTGACTTTCCTACTAAGACTTTTAGTGAAAAATAGAGAAATTAGGATATTGTATAAACATTTTAAATTTACTTGGTGCACTTTGTGGCAAGCATAATTAAGTACAAAGGACCTCAGTGGCATCTCCAATTTTTTTTTTTTTTTAGAAAATCTGTTAACTATCCATACAGTATCAATTGGCTATTTTTCACTTCAAGTGGTCAAATGATTACTAACCTTACAAAACATAAACTGCTCTACTGGTCAAGCACAACATAAGATTTTACTGATTTGTATATTAAAACTATTGACTGTCCACTACTTTCCAGGTATAGTGAGGAGGTCAGTATTTTGCTAGCAGAAACTGCAAACCATAAAGAACTTGGTGTCTCGTGGGGCTTACAATTTAGAAGGTGAAACAATGGACATGCAAACAATTACACAACTAAAATTGATTGCATTGCATTAAGTGCTCCAAAGGTACATTTTGAGGGAAATCTACCTACCATACAGGCCACTTACACGTTTCCCTAGAAATAATTTTTGAATTGAAAGTTGAAAATTATGTAGAAGTTATCTATGTGCAAACCAGATAGGGTTTATGTCATGAAGTGGGTAGAATCCTAGACAAAAAGGTTCATTATAAATGAAAGTCTTGAAGCGACAACCAGTTGTGTCTCCATGTGGAGTCATAGCTTCAGCCTGCTTCAGTTCATAACTATTACCCTCTCATTCTAACTCTCTTAAATAAATAAATCTTCCAAATGTAACTTGTAAAACATTAACAAGAGATTTCAAATATAAAATGTTTGTAATGTAGAGATCTAAAGGTTCTACTTTAGAGAGATTTAATTTTAAATCAATTTACTTTTAACTGACAAATACTGAGAACAGCAATAGAGTTGAAATTTGAAAGTCACTCATGCACATTCCATATCTTGGGAACCTATTTGCCGCAGAACACTTAGCGTTAATCAGGAGACAATGAGAAGTCATAGTGGAAGGATACTAGCATCACTACCAAAAGGAGTTAGACAAGGGGCCACTAACAGATGCCACAAATAGACTAAAACATCATTCCTAGCTGTTTTTCACGCTTTTTTCCAAATATTAAAAAATAGTTTTGAGAGCAGGAAATCAGTGTTTCTTTTTTGTTATGAAAACTTGTTATTTATAAAGATTTAGAAATTTATTCCTATTTTGCATAATTCTTTTCAAAAGCAGAGACTGACTAGAGGATATTAGCTACATTTTACAGACTAGGATGGAATAAATGAGTATTTCTAAATAATGTGAAAGTTTCATAGAATAAAATGAACTAAAACGAAAAGACAATCATAAGGCTCCTTCTTATTTGATAGTTGACAATTTTGAAATTTTACCTTAAAAGAGTGATAAGTATAATCAATGGGTATAGCATCAAATTTCATAATTATATGAAATACGTGAAATACATTAATTACTTATTTCAGGAAAAACTACTTACTTGTTGTTTTGGCTCCAATCACAACCATACACAGCAGCTGGATGTTTGTATTTGTGTAGCACTTTATTATCAACTGTTCGAATAATACTGAAATGAATAATGATATATTTAGGAAAAAAGCTTGTAATAAATTAAGAGAACCAAGCACTATGTATTTCACTTGTTTAATATATATTTATTTTCATTAGAAAGGCAGATTTAAAGAAAGGAGACACAGACAGAAAGATCTTCCATCTGCTTGTTCCCTTTCCCAGTGGCTGCAGGGTTGGAGCTGAGCTGATTTGAAGCCAGGAGCTGCTTGTGAGTAGCCCACATGGATGCAGGGTCCCAAGGCTTTGGGGCCATCTTCTGCTTCTTTCACAGGCTACAAGTAGGGGTCTGGGTGGGAACTGGAGCAGCCAGGAAATGAAACAACGTTCAGATGGGATGCCGGCCTCTGAAGGAGGAAGATAAGCCAACTGGCTCCCAAACACTGTGTATTTTAATTGTAAATACCCTACCTTGATAAACTTTGCAAGGCAAATTTTGTAAGTTAGTTAAGGCAACATACTTAAATCAAAGGTGACACATTTTTTTATTTAGAAGTTATTTTCTGGGCCCGGCGCGGTGGCGCAGTGGCGCAGTGGTTAAGGTCCTCGCCTTGCACGCCCGGGATCCCACATGGGCGCCAGTTCTAATCCCGGCGGCCTCTCTTCCCATCCAGCTCCCTGCCTGTGGCCCGGGAAAGCAGTGGAGGACGGCCCAAAGCTTTGGGACCCTGCACCCGCATGGGAGATCCGAAAGAGGCTCCTGGCTTTGGATCGGCATAGCATTGACCGTTGCGGCTCACTTGGGGAGTGAATCATGGGACGGAAGATCTTCCTCTCTGTCTCTCCTCTCTGTATATCTGCCTTTCCAATAAAAAATAAATAAATAAATCTTTTAAAAAAAGTTATTTTCTTATATTTTCAGTTAAAATAAAGGGGCTGGTGCAGTAACTTAAGAGGCTAATCCCTCCTGGTGATGCTAACATCCCATGTGGGCATATATGTTCCAGCTCTTCATTTTTCACACCAACTCTTTGCCAATAGCCTTGAAAGGCAGAAGAGAAGATCCTAAGCCTTTGGGATCGCGCACCTATGAGGTGGACCTGAAACAAGCTCCAGGCTTCAGATTGGCTCAACTCCAGCCTTTGCGGCCATGTGGGGAATGGGTCAGCAGATGGAAGATCTCTCCCTCTCTCTCTGTATTTCCTCTCTTTGTAACTCTGACATTCCAAGTTAAATCAATACATCTTTTTAAAGAGAAAACAAAAATTTTTAGCTGTAATGATATAACTAATTTATGCTTTGGCTATGCAGCTTCAGAATTGAATAGTTTAAAATTTATGGTATTTAAGACAACTCATGTAGAAACTTGGTGATATGTGCCATTACACTTAGACCTATAAATTATAGAAACTAGCAATTCAGATTATCATCATCTCTACTACCAAAAGATCCTGTATTACATAAGTGCAAAAATAAAAGAAGTTCTAATGCCCTACCTTATTGTTAGCATTATAAAGTTGCTATTGTTCCATTAGAAAAAAGAAAGAAACTGTGAATAAATTAATATTTTACAGAATTTTTTAAGTCTTTGGAAAAGACATTCTTAAACATTAATAGGTCCATCAAAACACTTCAGGTTACTGGGAATGGTGGTGTCTAATGCTTAAATATGCTTAGTTACTGGATGTAATATTTTTTAAATAAATAATGCCTGGAAAGTATGTGATACTGTCATAAGAATTACATAGACATCCTATTAAAAATTCCTTCATGTTTTCTTGAGCAATTTAGTCTTTTAGTAATAATTCATATAGTGTTTGCATTTAGAAGACAATGAATGGTTCATATAAAAATACTGTTGCCTTGCTATTTATTGTTGAGATATCATAGCAATATAACACATTTTTGCAAATAATATTTAAAATATTTGTTAGGGCTGGAAAAATATAATTTATAAAAAATAGGAAAAACCAAATATATTTTTATACATTGTAACTTTATGATATCATGTATTATACTTACCAGAAACCATCACCACTGCAGGTTGCTATTCTTTTGGAATCTTTATGACTCCACGCAATGCAGAATATTCCATCTTTTCCATGCTTCAAAAAATGCAAAATACCTATCAATAAGAAATAATTCACCCCTTTTTTTCTCTTATTTACTTACTTCTTCTAAGTATAATTTTTTACTATGAACTTTCTATTATACTAAAAGACATTCCTGTCAAGAGCAGAAATCAAGGTGTAAACTTTTCAAAAAATGTAGATGAACAAGACTGAGACTTGGAGACCTGATTGTTGCTTACGGCCTTCATTTAAACTGAGGAACAGAAGGTTTTTCCTGTATTTGCCATGTACTGAAACCTTTACCTAATGGAGTGTTAAGATGGTGACTGCAAAGTGAAATGAAAATATGAGACTGTAAAACTTGAAAGAGAAAGAGAGAGAGAGAGAGAAACACTAAGAGAATGAAAGGAAGGAAGGAAAGAGGAAACAGGTGGGGAATGCAGGCAGGAGGGGAGTAGAAAGGGAAGCATCACCATGCTCCAAAGTTGTGACATACATGAAATTTTTTCACCTTATATAAATGAGGTTACTAAAAATACTACGTAAAGCTGTCATACTTAACAAACAATGCCACTGTTTGTCAGACATAGACAAGGCAGCTATACTTCATTTTGTTGGATCCAGGGTGAAGCATCCAAATCTGCTTCTTCAGCTATCCACTAACTAACTATCAAGGAAGAAAAACATCTAGCAAATGTCAATTAGCTTCATAACAATAAATATATCTTACCTCATTAAATCGTTGTATTATTTTGCCCTTCCGAACATCCCAAATAAAAGCACCATTTCTGGAAGTTGCCCCAGCAATGCAATTTAAACCACCTTACAAAACAATTTGTTAGACGTTATGTTGGATATTGGCCATAAATATAATTCTTTTTAAAAATGTTTTTAGGAGATTGTTGTGGTATAGTGGATAAAGGAAAAGGTACACAAGCTTTGAAAATGTAAGTTGAGATCTGTAAAGGTTTTAAATAAAATTTTTGTAACAGAAATTATAAAATATATAAATGTATGAATGTATTAAATAAAAAGTGATTAACACAATGAGTGCCTCACTGTATAGTTCGGCAATAATTAAAGTACAACCCATCCTATTTTCCACACAGTCACTAAAATATCTTTTGGGGAAAATGTTATTGTACTATTTGATCCAATTCTTTTGTAACTGGCCAGAAGACTGCTGTGAAGTCAAATATTGAAATAATTAAGAACACAGGCTACAATACATTTTAGTCAATGGAACAAATATGGTTATTAAGAGTGCAAGATATTTGTGTGTGTGTCTCTTTCCTGTAAATTTGCCTTTCAAGTACATATTTTTTAAAAAGGAGGTGGTGGTGGCACTGGCTGTAATAGGCCAGGGATCCCATATATACACCAGTTTATGTCCCAGCTGCTCCACTTCCCAACCAGCTCCCTGCTTATGGCCTGGGAAAGCACCAAAGGATGGCCCAAAGCCTTGGGCCCCAGCACCCAAATGGGAGATCTGAAAAGAAGCTCCAGGTTCTTGACTTTGGATCAGCCCAGTTCCAGCCTTTGCAGCCATTTGGGGAGTGAATCAGCAGACAGAAAATTCTTGCCACATGTGCAAGTGTGTGTGTGTGTGTGTGTGTGTGTGTGTGTGTCTCCTTCTCTGTAGATCTGCCTTTCAAATAAAATGAAATAAATCTTTTTAAAAACAATTGTAAGATGTTTTTCAATAACTTTGCAGAAGGCACACAAAAAATTAGTGATTCTTAGCCTCATTTGTGTTGCAACTTCTCTGAAAATAAAGATTGCTGATACAGGCTTACATATAAATTTAATAGAAACTACTTATAAAAAAAATTCAGGAGATACCACAATCCCTGAAGACATCCTTCAAGGCTTATAAACTCAGGATTAAGAATCTTGTATATGCAGACGACATTAAAAATAAAGAGGGAGTGGACACTGTGGCACAGCATGCTACTTGGCAACTCTGCCTGCATCCTGTGCCAGAGCGCCTGGCTTGAATATAGACAACCCTTTTAAAAATATGTAAGGATACGCTTCACATTGGCTCTTAGGGGATATTAAATTAATGTATTACTATTAGGAGTACAAAGTACAGCATTTTATATGCATATGTATACTTTAAAAAGAAAAATACATTTTGATGTATAAAATTATTTGTCATAAGGAAATAGCGTTTGGGAAGTTAATATCAAAAACTTCCTAAGAGAACTCTTCTCTTGATTGTATAGGTGAGAGCTGCATGTTCCTGACATCAAAGAACACATTCTATTATGGCATAACAGTTCTTCAATATTATAAATGTATAATTCATATGGACTTGCATAGTTGTAATTTAACTATTAGTTGGCACACAAATGGTCTTCAAAAGTTCATGGAAATTGCAAATTCTCTTTTACTCGTATTTTCTGATGAACATTGCAAAATACCTTTCTAAATCTTTCATATTTGCAAAATGTAACACAGAAAGTGATCTATGATCGCTGAAAGCACATTGCTCATATTGTTTTCTTAAATTCAATTCATGTGAAATATTTTAGGAAAATTTCTACAGCATGTAATGGCTATATCTTTAAAGGAGTGGGTATACAGATGTGTCTTTCCCATGTGATCTGGTTATTTAGAAATGCTCAAAAGCAAAGTACCTATATAGGTAGTATATCCTAGAATGTCTCGGAATCTGATCAACTAATAATATTGGTACTCATATGCCTCTACTGTTACATCTTCAAAGACAAAGAAAGTAAAAATATACAAATGCAAATAAAATTTAGAAAGGTAAACTAATAAACAAGTTCAATAAAATATTTCTTACCTGGAGCCCATGAAATTGAATAAATAACTCCTTCATTTCCCGGGGAAGTATACACTGCTGTTAACGTGTTTATATCCCAGACTTTTATAGTGCCATCAAATGAAGCTGTTGCTAGAATATTTGGATCATCAGGTTTGAATTTGCAGTCAAAGATAGTCTCCACATGTCCCTGGAAACATATTTTTAAATGTCACAACTATTGAGAAAAATGTATTTTGTATTAAATAAACCATAATGTTTGATCAGGCTGATAGACGTACTGCAGCATTTCAAATATTAAGTCGTCACCGTGACTGAATGTTGTCTGTGCTCTAGGTTGTATAACAAGGTGAGTATTTCATATGTTTAGAACCAGAAGTGCTCCAGATTTCAACTGTTTTGAATTTAAATCTTTTTTAGTTAGCCATATTCATGTATCATTCATGCATGATGATATATCTTGGATAAATGACCAAATCTAAATATGCAATTCATTCATGTTTTGTACATACTTTACATGCACTGCATCAAAGCAAATCTATACAATATTTTAGTACACCTGCATTATACTGCAAACAGTCACATGAAGTCAGATATGGAATTTTCCATTGTTGACATCATGTCAGTGTTTAAAAAGTGCCATATTTCATAGCACTGTGGATCTTGGATTTTTAAATTGATATTCAGCCTATATTTTGTACAGAATATCTACAGAAGCCGATGTGTTTCAGTAAGAGCTTTTGCTCTGATATAGTTTGAAACTTTGGATGTGCTTTATACATACACAGGAAATCACAGTTAGATGTTTCTTATGGTACTGTTTTCAACAATTTCAAATGTGAGGGTTGTGGTATGATATAAGAAAGTCTAAGGAAAAAGGGGATTGCTTTTTACTGGAAGACATTTTTAAAGAATAGCAATGCAAATTTATAATTAAGTTACTTCTTTTCAATATTAGAATCATAAATTTATCATGGTTTTAAGTAAAATATATCAATGTGAACCTGTATACTTGATAGAAAATCTACCATATTCAAATTGCATGACTTGCACTAGTACAACTGTTTAAAAGTATTCCTTTATTTCCTTCATTCCTTTTCATGAATTTGATTTAAAAGAACTATTAATGTGGAGTCTAGGTAAAGTTTACCAGATTGTTTCAAACAAAAATTTTTAAGTTTGATGCTTGAAATTTAAAAGATATATTTCCTAGAATCTTGAAACTAAGACAAAGACCTTACAAAAACATTCCTTACAAAAATAATTTTAACAGTACTAACACAGAGATAAAATTAAACATCATACATGAGTTTACACAACATAGGCATGTGTAACTGAAGGAATGACCACAGTCATACCAAGTCCCTGAGAAAATCCCACTTCCTGGCGCCCATATCATAAAGTCCAACTCCGCCATCCATGAAACAGCAAACTGCATGACCAGGAGGAAGGGAAAATGCTTGATTCTGTGTCAAAGTTGGTGACGGAACTGCTTCACTGGTTGATGATGTATAATGATTTTTGGTTGGAGACTGGAGAGAAACTAAAAAAGAAGGAAAAAAACCAAACATTTGTATTAGCAGATTTCTACCAGAATGAAATCATGAGGTTTAATTCTTTTTAAAATCCAAAATGTGCATCAATAAAACCTTATGTGATAATCACACTTTCTGCCAAAATGAATTCTTTATGGTAATACCAAAACACATGAAAATACAAGCACAAAATTGGGTACTGTTTTGAAGAAGTACATAGTAGGGTAGATAGAGAAAAGGGTAGGTAGATAATGAAAATAATTGTGGGAGGAATTACAATTTGTTCTCAATGTCTTTAATCTTCTCAAAAATAATGCATAGTATGATTCTTTTTGAATTACAATCTTCCTTCTAAATAATCATAACTCATTGCTCCCTAAACACATATATGAATAAGATTTCTTTGTTTTTTTTCAAAAGCAAGTAATTGTTTCCCATTAAGTTCCAGATCAAGGTATAATCCACTTGAACTCATTATCCAAGTTAATAAGCACAGTAGTGACACACATCTGAATCCCACTTTTCATCTTTTATTCTACATTTTTTTTAATGTTACAGACTTCCAACTCTCCTACTTTCAGTTATAGCAATGTTCTTTTGTTTAGTTATTTTTGTACACTGTTTGTTCAAGATTTGTTTATTTATTTGAAGGGCTGAATTACAGAGAAAGAGAGAAACTGACAGAGAAAGAGAGAAAGCGAGAGCGAGCGAGAGAGAGAGAGATCTTCCATATACTGGTTCATTTCCCAAACAGCTGCAATGGCCGGTGCTGGGCCAGGCGAAAGCCAGGAGCCAAGAACTACATCTGGGTGTCCGTTTTGGGTGGCATGTCCCAAGTACTTGAGCCACCAGAATTTCACAGGAAAATTCAGGTTGGAAAGGCTGAAGGTTAAAATGCAGAGATTTTCTGCTACTTGCCATTACTCACTAAAATAGCTTTCATAGCAATTACTCTTAACATATTTTCAAGACAGATGCCAGTGAGGTGGAATCAACTAGCCTGAGTTTCAACCGCTAAATTCTCTACTATATATTTTTAATAATTCAAACAAAATGGGAATGATAAAAATCTCATAGTCAATTTATTTTTTTTAAATTTATGAATAATTCTAAACCTCCAAGGATATTCCACTTACAGAAGGTTTCTTTATTTTTATTGCAAAATCAGATATATAGAGAGAGGGGAGAGAGAGGAAAATCTTCTGTCTGCTGATTCACTCCCCAAGTGGCCTCAACAACTGGCACTGAGCCGATCCGAAGCCAGGGGCTCTTCCGGGTCTCCCACGCAGGTGCAGGGTCCCAACGCTTTGGGCTGTCCTCGCCTGCTTACCCAGGCCACAAGCAGGGAGGTGGATGGGAAGCATGGCCACTGGGATTAGAACCATCGACCATATGGGATCCCAGCATGTTCAAAGTGAGGTCTTTTGCCACTAGGCTGCCACACTAGGCCCTCCACTTCTTTTCTAAAGCTTAGTGGTATTTTATTTTTCTTAATTCTAGAAACAATGAGTAATAATCAGAAAATATACAAAAACAAATGAAGAATATATAGGATACTTATAAAGTGAATTATAATCCACTGACAACTACTGAATGTATAAAATAATTATTAAATGTTACAATTTAAATATTCTGATTATAATATCTTAGTTATAAATGATATGGATAATATATGAATTACATTTAAAATATAAATTCTCTTGATTTGTTGGTTTCGACCAACTTTATATAATCCCATCACCACTGGTCTTTCTGATTTATTTTCACCAAAATTCTTGCTTAATCTTCTTTATATCCATAATTTGATAAGATCTGAATAATCTCACCTCGTAGATTTTTATAAAGGTAAAGTGGCTTTAAATATTTTTTTATTTAGTAATATAAGACATTGTATGGTTTTCATGATTCCTTTAGAAAATTTAACGTCAAATACTATTTTTAAAAATTGCTTTTATTGGGCCTGGTATGATAGTGTAGTGGCTAAAGTCCTCGCCTTGCATGTGCCGATTTCCCATATGGTTGCCGGCTCTAATCCTGGCAGCTCCACTTCCCATCCAGCTCCCTGCTTGTGGCCTGGGAAGGCAGTCGAGGACGGCCCAAAGCCTTGGGGGCCTGTGCCTGTGTGGGAGACCTGGAAGAACTCCTGGCTCCTGGCTTCGGACTGGCTCAGCGCCGGCCATTGCAGTCACTAGGAGAGTGATTCATGGACTGAAGATCTTCCTCTGTCTCTCTTCCTCTCTGTATATCCGCCTTTCCAATAAAAATAAATAAATCTTTAAAAATTGCTTTTATTAGCATATGGTATTTGAAATGTCTATATTAGTGTCATTAATTTCATTTGATAGAAAATATAAAACATTAACATTTGCTGATAATTTTACCTACACTTTTTTTGTGGAGGAGAATTAAGCACGTGTAAACAGTGAAATCCTGTTTTCTTTAATTTAAAATTTTCAATAGGTGTTGTTCTTGAAACATTCCAAATGCGTAGGACTCCCACTTGAGAATCTGTTCAAATCAGAAAAATATATGCTAAAACTTTCATTCAGAAATCAAAATATCTAGATATAAAAATAACAATACTTCAAACTTGTAAGACTTTTAACATTCTTTAGTGACATCTTTAAAGCTCCCAGTGGATACAGAAGAAGAACAAAATAAAGATTTGAAATATTTGTCCCACATACCTTCCTCCAAACATCCACCCTCCGCACCCTAACTGATGGCCCACATGGCCACAAGTCCCTCTCAACTATGTCAACATTACAGAAAATAAAATTAAAATTTGAAAAGTGATAACACTACATATTAAAAGAAGCAGTTGAAATATGATTTATAGTTTATAAATTTTATAGTTTTGTCTATTTTTACTCTTTGTTTTCTTTTCCAAATCTATTTATATGGTTAATGATTACCTGCCTTGGTAGCTTCCTGATACAGATTACAACAATGTGACTGCAAAAAACGCACATCATTAACACAGATGTGTTCTAGGAACAAGCTAAGGACAGAAATCTGTCAACTTATAACATTACATAATCTTCCCTCTTCGGAAACGTTGTAAACTGCTTCCCTGCACACTTTCATGCAAACAGGGACAAATACACAAAGGCCAATTAGAAAGTCTCCCTCCTTTCAAAAAATGTCACAGCAACAGTCACTTGCCCAAAAGTCTGGAAACAACACAGACTTCGGTGACCCTGTGATTCTGCTTCTAGGTATCTAACCAAAAGAGTGATAACCATATCTCCCCACAAAAAAAAAAAAAAAAAATTCTGCATAACTTCCAAGTTCTAATGGGATGGCTGACTAGAGGTGCTGCACATACTTTTCTCTAATAAACAAAGACCAAGTCAAAGAATAAACAGCCTACTATACCATTAAAATATTTCTGGGATAGCACTGCAGTGTGCTGTGAATGAAATGTAAAAGGAGTGAAGGTAGTCCTCGTGGGACCACAGCTGGTCCAAGCAGGTTGTTGTAAAAAACTAAACTTTCCCTGGCTCTGGCTTCTTATCTTACATGTACTGCCACTAGGATGTCATCTGTAGCACATGCTGACCCAGGGCCATGCCCTTAGATTCCTCTTTATTTATCATTCACTCTTAGATATGTAGTTGTAATTATGAACACTACAGTATATAACTCTTTTATAGGAGAAACCCCCATGCCAACATTCTTACACCCTATTCACAACAACTTGGATGTGGAATCAACTGAGGTATCCACTGCCAGGTGAAGGAATAAATAATACATGGTATATGTACAAGTATTATGCAGCCATTAAAAAAAAAACTACAAATGCCTGCCATTTGCTTCTGGCAGCATGGACTGAATTGAAAGACATTATGTGAGATGCAAAGAGCTAGATACAAAAAGGCAAATACCACAGCAACGGGGTTATAACAATTTATTATATATTTTATAAAGGAATGAAAGAGAGTCATTTGAAGACTCCCTATTCCCAGAAATGATGAATGTTGCATAGATGGAAATTGTAATTACCCTAATTTGACCATTAAACATTGTACATACATATTGAATTATCATACTGTACCTCATGTAGATGTACAATTATTGTATGTTAAAAGTTGTACAGTCCTGTACATAATGTTCATAAATGATGGTTGTATGAATATAGAAGCAGCAAAAAGGTATATCAAGAGATGAAGTGATTAAATCCAGTCTATGTACTTAACAGATACATACAAAATATAAAGGAAGGAAGTACTGATACATGCTGTAACATGTAGGAGCCTTAAAAAACCTTCCTCCCTGGGAAAGAAGCCATAAAAGGTCACATGTTGAATGATTTCACTTACACAGAATGTCTAGAAAAAGAAAATTCACAGAGACAGAAAGTAGATTAATGATTTCCAAATGTACATATGTGCAACAGGGTATGTGGGAAAGGAGTAACGAAGAGTGACTGCTACCGCGTATGGAGTTTGTTAGGGAAGAGGAATTCTTCTGGATTTACATAGTTATGATGATTGTACCAGTTTATGAATATAGTAGAAACCACTGAACTATACTCTTTAAAATGGTTAATGTTACTACATGTGAAGTATAGCTCAATAATAATAATAATATACTAAAATGTTCATGGCTGCTGATTATATAATGTAAAATTTAAGGCAATTAAAATATGTAAATTAAAAATTTATCTACACCATGAATAGTTTAAGACATAAAGAAGTAAAACATTTCTCTAAATATTCTCATAGAATAAAGTTATATATATAATATATATATATTATAATTCCTGTATTTAATATATATATGTTAGCAAATACAGGAATTATTTATCCAGTAGCCCAAAGTATTTTGTGTCTCTAGAACATTCTCTCTGAAATTAACAGTAAGACAGTGATATAATTTCTAATTACTATTCCTAAATTATCTCAACTTTTCATATCCCATCATTATTTAGCTTCGCTGCCTTGCTCATTTTAGGAAACCATCAACTAGCAGGAAATGTATGCATCCTTTAACACACTGTACTAATTTTCCACTGTTTGAGAAAGTCCAAGTCGGCCCAGGTAGTAAAGGATATCACTCCATTGGTGAGGTTAACAGAGTTCCCACACAGGTACTTTTTTGTTTTCTGGTCAGTACCTTCACTGACAACCTGTAATACCTGAAACCCGTGAACATTCACAAACACAGACATCTTAGAATTGCAGAATACTTACATTTGTTAATACTGTGTACTTAACAAAATAAATAATAGCTCAGATACATGAATAAGTTTAGTACAAATTACTTCAATTTCCTTGACTCAATTAATGAATGTACATATATTTCAAACTTGGGAGAATGACAACACACTTACCTCCTGTTACAAACATCCCAGGAGCACTGGGAACCCACGCTAAGCATTGAACAGAAGCTGCTGCGCTGGGGAAATTAAATGTTGTTATGCAATAAAGTGATTCGGAATCTACTAGACGAATTCCATAATGTAAGTTAGCCACCAGGAGATAATCAACAGACAGTGGGTCCCATTCCAGGGCTGTAACTGGATCCTCTTCATCTGTTCCTTCAAGAGATTCAGGTCTCAGAACATGCTTCTGATTTTTATTTCCTTTAAAACATAAAGAAAATTATCTCAAAAAATTCACAATTAAGATCAGTAATTGTGTCCTACTAAAATTACTTTTGTATAACACTGATCTTTGAGAACACTAAGAATGCAATTCTGACTTCTTGGTACAAAAGACATAACTGCAATGTGGATGCAGAAAATTTATCAAAATGATTAAAGTTAGATACAACTATTTTACTTTTGCAATTTTTAACTTCCTGAATGGTTTTCCAATTACTGAAAAAGTGTAAGAAAAACCACATAGATAAAAGGTGGTTGTCAACAGTTCCAAACGCCACTGAGTTTCAGTAACACAGGACAGGGGAAATGTGCAGTGAAATGAAAAGCAGCACACAGTGATTAAAGCAGAGATTTCAGCACTAGACATGTAGACTCATAGCCTAGCTTTGTATTTTGCACTCTTGGTTAAGCTACTTGGCATCTGTGTGCCTCAGTTTCTTATTTTTGTAATGGATGACAATACATACCTCACAGGGCTAAGCTTGTGATTATAAAAATATTGAAAGTATGTTATTACAAAAATTAAATCTAGGAGCCCAGGCAGAGATCTGGTCTTTGTAAGACAATAAGTTTCTGTTTGTCCAAGTCACCTAGTTTATGGCAACTTTTTAAACAGCAGCCCTAGTAACTCACACGTAATTGGCTTCAGAAAAATAACATTTTATACCATGGAGGCAGATTCACAAATGACTTAAACAGCTACAAGGCTATGTTAGGAGGACAGCCTCTTTTGGAAGCCATGTAGCCCAGAACATTCAATTATTATAAAATATAATATGTTATATTGCATTATTCTGACATATCCCAGGATATATAAATACAAGCAGGTCTTTATTCCTTCCTAACCTTTCCATGCCCAAATAAGCATATAATATCTAGATTTTTTTTCTGTGGTAGACAGATAATACAGTGTCTCAATACCTGCAGTGAATACATTACAGTGCTCATAATAAAAGTTCTTTTAAATCAATATTTTATATGAGCACACATATGTAATATTTGCAAGAATATTACACAAAATGTCATTACACTTGGCAGAGACTTTAAGAATTACATCCTTACCTGGTTGAAAAATTGATAGACTTCCATCAATATGACCAAACACAACTTTGCCCTTTTTCTGCGTATGCCACCTGAATATACAGATATCAGACAAGAAGCTATGGGCTTCCTTATGTACAGTGACTCCACTATCTGGTCCTGATATCGTCCAAATGAACAATGGGCCTCTGTGGGAAATAAATGCCACAGCATCATCTGCATTCCAGCACCAGCTAAGAGAAGCAGGTATCCCTGGAACAAATTAGATACCATAGAGAGATAAAGTATAATTCTCTACCACTCATTAGTATTCACATGTGCATTTACCAAGCAAAGTAAAATGAACATGTCCATTATTTAGGAAATACATTAATTTCTTACTTGAGAACTGGACTTATAAAGTAATCCCAAAGACTTCAGGGAATATATGTAAGGAACTTCCATGATAAAAGGAAAAGTACAGAGTTAGGTTCAGATATTACTAATACAAACATATGCTTCACATAGCAAAAAATAATATATATATTGAATTATTCATGTTAGGAAACTGCATATCACATTGATTTTTATCATGCAACTTAGATGTTCACTATGTTAACAAAAGATCACTGAGGTTGACTTTTAAAAATATTTCGCTCAGTTATTGAAGAAAACTTTATTCACTAAGTCCTTGTGGGTGAAAATTTAAAATAGGATGCAGCAATTTGGAATTGAATTTTATATTTTTCTAGATAAAACTAACTTCATTTGGCAAATGTTTTTTGAAGTGTCTTCCTCCACTTTTCCAAATTAATTAGTATAAAGAGAATAGATTTCACGTATTTCATATATACAGTTTTAAGAACGAATATTTCCCACCCTCCTTCTTCCTATTTTTCTGATGACACAGTTTCAAGTTTAATACTTCACTAAATAAGGAATTCAACAGTTAGCAAGCAGAAAGACCACTATTCCTCAGGATACAGACAAGGGCTATAAACAATAATCAAATTTTGACATGTGAATTTCACTGTATACATTACAGCTTTTGTACTCTATATTGTTTATTGATATTTTACAATTTTTTGTGCTTGAAAATAAAACAAAAATTAAAACACCAAGCAAGCTGAATGTATCTAAAAATTTTAAAAATCATTTCATTGAAAAACATTCAGGATCAACTGCCTACAAATTTTTAAAATTATTGCTATAAGTTTAGAATAATATTATGCAGAAAATGAACAAAGTAGCTAGTAAGATTGTCATGCCTCAGTTTTCTCTTAAACATAAGCTTCAATTTCAGAGGTTAAACTGAATATAGAGAAAAAATTTCAACAGTAGCCCAAAATCATATTCAATAATTGCACAATGCTAGGTACTCAAAAAGTGGAGTAAATTATGTGAATTTAGGAAAGAAAAATGATTGCTCCACTTGATCATCATCATGAGGTAATATCAACATGTCTTTAAACTACATTAAGCCAGTTAAAAAAAACCTGTTTAAAAAATGGAAAGAGAATAAAGAGCACTTGCCACTACAAAATAAGAGTTTGCCAATATTATTCAAATTAAAAGACTGTGTGAGCTAGGACTTTCCAACTTGACATTTTTTTCTAATCATTATTTGTGTTTTTATTTTGGATAAATGTTCATATTATATTCAACATTCATGACTTTTTTACTTCTTTCTTGATAATTTACTCTATTGGCTTTGTTCTTTGTTGATATTTTCTAGGTATGATTCTTTCATGAAATCTTATTTTAATTTGGTGCATCCACAGAACACGATATGAAATGTCTTTCTGACACAGTAACCATTAGAAAGTTTGCAAACACTAGTGTGAATTTCCAGCTAATGATGCCAGTAGCACTATTGAAAGTATTTAACAAAATAAACCCCGGTTTTAAGTTTACCTTTTGTATTGTTGAGTTTAGCAATGACCTTTTGTTCTGCAACATTCCAAATGATCACTAAATTGTCGGTACTGCCACTTGCAAACAGGTCAGGATTATGAGGACACCAAGAGATTGCGGTGATTGTTTTTTTATGTTCAGACATAATTGCGTGAAGCTTGAATTCATTGTAACGGTGATCCAACTAAAACAAAATATATAAATAAAACATGTTAATGATCCTCTTTAGAAAACAGAATATTCATTAATAATCACATAATACAAACCAAAGGCTACAAAAAATACACCAAAATCAGTCGACTGGTAAGAAAGTTATCAACATATTTCAAGTCTTGGTTAACATTCAAGAGTATTTAATTAGCTGAAAGAAACTGTTTGAATAAAATATGGGAAAAATGAAGTAAAATACTAATATTAGCAACAAATGTTTTCCTTTTATACATGCATAATAAATCAGAGCTCTATTATATTTGCTATTACTATATATACTCATGGAGGGAAAATAACCTTGTTTTGAAGTGTTTTTATGTGATTTTTCTTTTCACCTACTTAAGGACAAAAAAATTAGGTTTAATTAACCAGTACTCAGTGGAACAATATTAAGTTGCTAAAAGCTTCCCAGGAAATGTTACCATGGAATCTTCTGCTATTGGCTTTTAGACTGGGCAATACAGTACATTTTTATATGCTAATGAATAAAATAAATAACCTTATTTTTTCTACTTCATTTGTAAACATGCCTCCATTACTTAACAAATTAAAATCTATCATTTTAACACCCCTTAAATTATATATATGTTATTTCATTAGAATTGGTCTTTCTCTTTCAATATTTAGGAAACTGTTAGTACTATTGAAAATTTTAAAATCCACAAATACAATAAACCTACGACATCTATTTTGAATATCAGTGATCTTGCCATGACTATATTGTTAAAATTATCCATTTGAATACAGTGTACTGTAGAACATGTAACTATTTGTACATGTCAATACTGTAGTACATTTCTTTATGTTTTTTTTCAAGATTCGTTGTTTTGTTTATTTGTTTATTGAAAAGTCAGGTGTATGTGGAGCAAAGGAGAGACAGAGAGGAAGATCTTCTGTCTGCTGACTCACTCCCCAAGTGACAGCAACAGCTGGAGCTGTGCTGATCCAAAGGCAGGAACCTGGAGCTCTTCCGGGTCTCCCATGCGGGTGCAGGGTCCCAAGGCTTTGGGCCATCCTTGACTGCTTTCCCAGGCCACAAGCAGGGAGCTGGATGGGAAGCAGGGCTGCTGAACCAGCACCCATATAGGATTCGGGCGTTCAAGGTGAGGACTTTAGCCGCTAGGCCACCGTACAGGGTTCATTTTTTATATTTGTAATTCAGAATTATGAGATCATATTGTTAAGATTGATATGGACCATAAAATTACTCTATTGTTTGGCTACTTTAATATAATAATAAGCTACTACCAGTGATTTACTTACAGTAATTTCTAAATAAAAAGACTTTTAGGCTTTAGTGACATGCAGATGTTCTACAGAGGCTTTTTAACATTAATAATTGTAGCTAAATTTTCCTAAACCTTTTCTCATAAAATGCCATAGCAATATTTTGATGCATATACAATTAATAGTTTCTGCTTTTTTTCTCTTTTGCCTACTTTCTCCTCCTCACCCCACCCCTCAGTTTCTGCTTTCATTCACTCAGTTTCTTACTACGCTTATCTTTTTGAGAAGACTAGTTTGTCTTGCCTGATACGTTTGTCTTCTTTAGAACAAAAAAAAGAGGGGGGGGGATTAAGGAGAAGGGTAGAGGTATTGTAGAAAGAATTTGGAATTGAGAAGCTACAAGAAAAAGTAGGCATTTACAAGTCTTATTGCTATATGTCAATGAAGGAACTAAATTCAACCACAACTTGATTGTAGATACCTCGAGCCTTCATTAATAGATTGCATAAATGCTTCACTGTATATTATGCAATTTACTGTTTAGGAGTCAGTGCAAGAATTTCTTAAGTTTTCCACTAACCGCATCATAAAAAAAATTAATTAATGCATCATAATGAAAAGAATTACACTGGAGAGTAAAAGAATTACACTGCTAACTGAAATGGGTTCATGTTTCAAGATACAGCCGTCTCGTTCATTTAAGACAGTTAATGAATGCTTACCAATTTCAGAGAGCACTAAAACATTTACAATTCAAAGATGGGGAAGATTCATTTTCAGTCAATGGGAACATGTAGATAGACAGTCTAGTATATGAAATCACTAACAAGAAAGGGGCAAAAACAGAACATGCAAAGGAGTTTATGCATAAGCTGAGATCTGAAAGAAGGAGAAAATGTTCCTCAGACACACAATGTAGGCAAACTGATAACTTAGTGTATGCCAAGGCAGCATATGAAAGAATGTGAGGTGTTCCTGAGAAATGCAATTAGTGCGGTATGAGAAACAATATAACAATTGATAAATAAAATAATAAACAATCAACGAAAAGAGAAACAATGAAGGAATCCCAAAAGATCTTGAAAGCTGCAAAGTGATGTTCAGATGTTAATACTGTAATAGGATGAAAAACAATCAAAATTAAAATTTTAATTTGTATTATGCATAATTGCTAGTAGTTAGTATAAATAAAAAGGCCCAAAGTACATGTAGTGAGAGTATTAGTTCAATGAGATAGATGTAAAGAAGATACAAAATACTAGAACCACTTGCTCTTGGTCACCAAGACTGCAGGGTGTGACAAAAGCAAGTCAAAGATGAATCACATTTCTGGTTTAGATGAAAGATTAGCTGGTCACACCGAGATATTGACTCAGTTTAAGGAGGAAACATGGACTCATACTGAAGATGCTTATGGAATATCTATACAGAGAAATTCAGAAGGTCATTGATTCTATAAATAAGGAAATGACAAGCGATCACTGCATGGAGGTAGGATATGTTAAACAGCAGTGTTGGGCCTGACATGATAGCCTAATGGCTCAATCTTCATCTTGGCAACTACTGGGATTCCATATGGGCACTGTTTCACTTCCGGCTGCTCCGCTTCCCATGCAGCTCCCTGCCTGTGGCCTGAGAAAGCAGTAGAAGATGGCCCAGACCCTTAGGACCCTGCACCTGTACAGCAGACCTGGAAGAAGCCCCAGGCTCCTGGCTTTGAATTGGCTCAGCTCCAACTGTTGTGGCCACTTGGGGAGTGCTCCAGCAGGAAGATCTTTTTCTTTATCTCATTTCTGTAAATCTGACTTTTCAATAAAAATGAATAAATCTTTTTTTTTTAAAAAAAAGCAGTTTTGGTCATTACAAAGGTTTTGTCTTAAAAGCATACCTCCAAAAGTTTCAATATTAGGATGTATAACAGATTACCCACACAATTTTCTCATATAAAATACACTGATAATGTAATAATACAATATAACTATCTTCTAAAGGTTCAACTTATAGAGCCAAAACAATATAATAACAAAAGTAGAAAATATACATTCAATGAAATTTTAGCATTATGTTTTTTCACTTAAAGGGGACTGTATTAAATAAATTTTAATTTTTCTATTCGAATTTAAAAAGAATCAGTCTTAGTTTACCTGATAGATATAGATTGCCAGGGTAGCACAGTATGCAAATCTGTCTCCATTGGCAGCACACACATCTTTGTTCCAAGGCTGACATCCAGCAGCCAGCAATCCAACTTGCCTTACCTGTGACATGTTCGCCTTGAAAAATAAATGTGAAAATAAGTCAGTCATTTCCATTTCTATTATCTGATACATTTCTTCTGCACTAGTTTACATCTTTATCTCCTATTCCTGAGTTCTATGTCTTGAAGAACATTCACATTTTTCAAAGAATACAAACTGAAATTTCCAAATTCTACAGAGATCAAGAAATGCAACTTAAACCAGAAAATGGAAGAGACTGTGAAATAATGCATGATTCGTGACACTTAGCCAAGAGTTTGGAAGCACATAAACAGTGTTGGGAAAGCACACATCCATACATAATAGATCTGGTACAAACAGAAAAGGCTATTTCATATTTTCAAATATTTCATATTTTTGTATAAAAATGTAAGAATTAAAAAATACCGGCATTTTATTTATAGCAGCAAACCCAGATTAAAGACATAAAAGGACATAATGGACATAAAAGGAACATGTCTTCTGCAGTCTTTATCCTCACAGAAACTATGTGAGGTATAAAGCCTGGGTTAGGGCTGGCACGGTGGCCTAGTGGCTTGAAGTCCTTGCCTTTCATGAGCCACAGTCCTACATGGGTGCTGGTTCTAATCCTGACTGCTTGACTTTCCTTCCTGCTGCCTACTCGTGGCCTGGGAAACAAGTAGAGATTGGCCCAGGGCTTGGGTTCCTGCACCCACATGGTAGACCCAGAAGCTCCTGGTTCCTGGTTTTGGATTATCTCGGCATCATCCATTGAAGCTGCTTGGGGACTGAACCATTGAACAGAAGATCTTTCTTTCTGTCTCTCCTTCTTTCTGTAAATCTGACTTCCCAATAAAAATAAATAAATCTTAAAAAAAAAAAGCCTGGGTTAATAATGATGTTCAATGTTAAAAGGGAACAGAGGGAAACTGTACATCACTTTAGTTTATATTTGAATTAATATGGTTTATGTGGCAACACAAAGAATACAGGAGTGAATGACACCAGGGGTACAAAACCTATCCAGAGCTAAACCTAAGGAATTGAAATGAGATAGGTTTGTATCAAGCGTAGGGTATAGCTGGTATCAGGTTCTGAACATTACATTGTAGTTTCTTATCACTAAAATAGAACTTCTCAACCAGAATTTATGCAAGATTCTTCCCAATTCGAGCAATTCTACATTATTCTATCTCTTGTGTTCTCTATAAATGTGACTTCCCAAGGGAAAAATCATTACTAATTTCTTTTTCATTTGACTTTGAAGAAATGTTTGTTCAGGCCTTATCCATTTTAAATAGCAAAAGTCATTTGTTTTTTTTTGTTTGTTTTGTTTTGTTTTTGTTTTGCTGAATTTCTGGAGATTTCAACACAGTTATGGTATTATTTTCTTTTGAATTTTATGATCTATGAAAATTTCACCTATTATTTTAGTTGAAACTGACTTTTGAGGTGCTTTTCTCTACTTCAGTGAAATCCACAATTTGCCTGTGACTGTGCTTTTGGACTCAAGGCCAACAATTCCGATGTATTGAATTTTTTGGCCTATGTTTTCTTTCAATAGTGTCATAGTTTGGGAATTTATATTTATGTTTTGTTATACTTACATATTTTAATTCATGTATATGGTGCTGTTTAAGGGTCAGTCATTATTTTCCATGTTTATTTGCTTTATAAAAAGGACTTTTAAAATTTATATAAAATGAACACAGTTCATACTATAGAATACAGATGCTTCCTGCTGCAACCTTCCCTCCTACCTACATTTACCACCCTGCTCCTCCTTTCTAATTTTTTTTCCTTCTAATTTTTACAATGGCAAACATTCATTTCACTTTGTAACTACAGGCCTCATGATCCTTTAAGTAACGATATCAATCCATAACAAACAGAAAAAAGAAAAAAAAAACCTACTATTTCTCAGCAGTTTATAATAGTTACAAATTCCTAGGATGTCAATCTCACACATATAGATTATATTTTTGTACAGGTGTATTAAATTAGGTGTATAGGTGAATATGATATTTGTCATTTGGGAATGCTCATTTTACCAGCACAATGATTTCCAGCTCTATCCATTTAGGCATAAAATACAAGATTTTTAAATTTTGTATGGCTGAGTAGTACTGCAATGTATCTATACTGCATTATCTTTATCCAGTGATTAGTTGATGGGCACCTGACTTGATTTTATATCTTAGCTATTGTGAATTAAGCTACTATAAACATGAAGTTGCAGATAATTCTTTCGTATGCTGATTTCATTTCATTCAGATAAATTCCCAGGAATGGGAGAGCTGGGTCAGATGGTAAACTTGTTTAAGAGATATCTGAGGAACCTCCATACTGTCTTCCATAATGCTTGCACTAGTTTGCATTTCACCAACAGTGGAATGGACTTCCTTCTTCCCACATTTTCACCAACACTTACTGTTTTCTGATTTCTGTATGATAGCTATTCTAACTGGGGTGAAGCGAAACTTTATTATGCTTTTTGTTTATTTTGCATTTCCCCGATGGCTGGTGATCCTGAGCATTTTTCATGTCCACTAGCCTTTTAAATTTCATCCTTTGAAAGAGCCCATTCATGTTCTTTGCCTATTGTCTTACCATACTGTTTTGCTGTTGAGTTTCTTGAGCTCCTTGTAGCTCCCAGATTTTAATCCTGTTATCAGTTGCACAATCTCTAAGTATTCTCTCCCATTCTGTTGAGTGTCCTGTCACTTGGATGGCTTCTTAGCTTGATGTAATTCCACCTGTTTAGCTGTGCTTTAATTGCCTGTGCTTCCGAGGTCTTCTCCAATAAGACTTCGCCTATGCCTATGTCTTGGAAAGTGTCCCCAATATTTTCCTCTAACACTGTTGATGGTATCAGGTCATAGATTTACACCCTTGAGCCATTTAGAGTTGAGTTTTGTATAAGGCATATAGTAGGGCATACTTTTGCACATGTACATCTAATTTTCCCAGTACCATTATTTAAAAAAAAAAAAAAAACTGTCCTTTCTCCCTGGATTGATTTCAGTTCACCTGTAAAAAATTAGTTGGCTGTAGATGTGTTTGTCAGTTTCTGGGATGTCTGTACTGTTCCACTGGTCTGCATGTCTGTTTTTTTGTGCCAGTACCAGGCTGTTCTGATTATAATTGCCCTGTAGTATTAAAGTCTGGTATGGCGATGCCTTCATTTTGTTTTTACCATTTAACTTTGTTTTAGTTATTCAGGGTCTCTTGTATTTTCACATGAATTTTAGCCCTCAACATGGGAAACTCCAAAAGAGCTCCTAAATCCTGGTCAGCCCTTGCTATTTCAGGCGTTTAGGGAGTCAACCACCAGCAGAGAAAATATCTTTCACTCCCCCTTTCAAATAGATAAGATGAGTATATATATTCATATGTATACACACATATTTAAAATAACAGACACACACATATTTAAAATAACAAACAGGACAATAATGAATAATTTACTTTAAAATCTGATTATGAATAAAATATAACATTATTAACTGTGTAAACATCATTGCATTTAAAAATTTGAACTATGGCAAATATCATATGTTCTCTCTAATATAAGGCAACCTTCCTGCAAAATACAAGATCAGAAGCTAAATAGGCAAATGTGTATGTACATACATTCATCTAGAAGAGCTGTATACTAGCATACTCAGACTAGCATACTGAGAAGTAAAGATACATTGCATATGCACCTCTACTCCTGAATTAAAGATAGACTACCAATAAAACTGTTGAATGTATTTTAACGATGGGATGCTGGACTTTCTACCATTGTCTATACCTACAATGTCAGATACACTTCAATAGCAAAATGGTGGACTTGTGACTGTTGTTGAATGAATACACTATTGTTATATAGGGGAAAGCAGCAATGGGAGGGGGAATGAGGAAGAGGGAAGAGGGAAGGAGAAATCCCTGAGTCTATGGAACTGTATTAAGAAATTTTTTTTTAAAAAATTATTAATAGTTTTAAAAGAAGCCTTTCAAGTGTTAAATATTTTCCCCAATCTAAGAGTTACTATGCCTTTCATAGACATTACTGAACTCATGCAAAAGGTCTCAGAGCTGGAAGCTTCTTGGCATCTCTCACACCAAGAAAGGAACACGGGCATCAGATTGTTTTCCTCCTAATAAAAGGAACAAGGATGGTAGGAGGTGGGAGGTGAATGCCTGCAGTGAGTTCTGCAGAGATTAGCTACAGAAAGGAGGCAACCAGCCTCCCACACCAAATGTTTAGCCCTCACTGTTTGGCTGAGAGCTAGTCTTAGATGCTTGCCCTGTCCAGAGCAGCATCTGGAAGAAACTGATCATGTACATGTTGATTTTGTTGTAGTTGTAGCTACAACTTCAGCAAAGTGGTGGATTACACATATCACCACTAGCAAGTCAACAGTGGTTTGGTTAGCACACATTTTTTTTTATTTCCAGAGGAAATGAATGTTTGAAGTATAATCTACAGTGACATTGCCCTGAACCACCCAGATTACAAGAAGGAAAGTGGAAGTGAAGACATCTAGGAAACAGCATTGTTGTGGATATTTCACACCCAGTACAGTCAACCAAATCAATCAGGATTTTAGAAATATATTGAAATATGAAATATATAAAAAATATATTGAAATATATATTGAAATATGAAGTACCTGCTAATGTTTTAGACTTCTAGACAGCTCTTTTAAAAGCATCATGAAATATGTATAATACTTATGTATGTAGCCTTTAATAAATGATGTTGAGTATTGCCAAGGAGATGAAATCTTATGGGATGCCCACAAGATTTTGTTATCTTAGTTAGCAGTTACTGAAGCTAGTGACTTGCATTGCTGAAAACGGAAAACATGCCACTGAAGGCCCATTTCAAAACATACACTTCAGTTTTCAATATAGATTTTACAAAATGTGTCACATTTATAGGTAAATAAATATATCTGATTGTGACAGGTAAATATAGATGTTTCATTATTTTAACTTTAGAATATATGTCATTTTGCAAGTCATATAAGTATTTTCACATCTTCTGCGAACATCTGTTATCTTAGAAAATAGAGTAATTTTTGATCCAGAAATGATTTGCACACTTTACAAATGAAATATGAAACACTGCAGCTCACTGATAATATAGATGATAAACTCAGGAAAAAGATCTGAGCTTTGCACCTCTTCATATTCCTTCAGGAACCAGGCAAGTATTGCCTTTGCAAGGATGCATTTTCTGTATTTTATCTTCAACTCTGTTGTTTTAACTGCTAATCACAGAATCTACACACATATCTTAATTATTCTGTTTCTTCTCAGGTTCAATAGCAAATATGTAGCAAAAAGATATTTCATTCATTAAGTGAATAAAGTTTAAACATTAAAAACAAATAATATATCAATATTGGTTTTGCATACTCAAGCTCACTTGAATATGCAAGATTATTATGAAATAAGCATAATAAAATTTAAGATATAAATAATATAATTATAATAATATAAAATATTTTAAAGTAAGTTTAAATCAAGGTAATATATATTTGTTTGCATAAATACATACACATTCCACCAATATCAAGATTTTAAAATATAAATTTCAGCTTAGTTTCCTAAAGATTGCATTTCATCACATACTCCATTTCTTCTTTTTATTTTCTTTTGAGAGAGATTTGTTTACTTTTACTGGAAAAGAAGGTTTACACAAAGAAGGAAAGACAGACAGACAGAAAGCTCTTGCATGCACTGGTTTACTCCTCAGGTAGCCACAATGGTCAGAGCTGACCTGATCCAAAGCAGCCGGGACATGAACCGAAACTTATATGGATGCTGATGCTGGCAAGCAGATAATTAGTCAAATGATCCATCATGCTGGCCCCCACATACTCCATTTCTAATTTATTATGTTTGGCTAAAAACTCCAACTTATCTTCTCTAGAAAATATTTACTAATGTGACTCCTGAATATTTTGTCATGGTGAATGCTGATTACATTACATGTGTGTGTGTGTGTGTGTACCTACATATACACATAGTTGAATCTATTTTTCTCACCAATGTCTATATGAGAACCAAATAAGACAGAGGATCTTAAACTCACAAAGAAAAGAAGTTATTTTAGGGTCAAGTTATTTCTGTATTTATAAAAACCTGTTTACTAAATTTGACTCATAATCAGGAATTCATTAATAAACTAACAGGCTTATAGTGTGATAAAATACTCATATAATCTTCATCATGCCATGTTCCAGTCACTTTAAAGGAACACATATTTCAGTAAAAACTGTCTTTCTTAAAATCAGTCTACCTAACCCCTTGAACTAGATTTTCATCCTATTCCCCTATCTAGGAATCCAAGAGGAAGCAAAAAATAAATAAATAAATAAATAAATAAGTCTTGTGTTTCAAAACATTAGGAATGAACCATCAAAATACATTTACATGACAGAAAGGATGCTTGTGTGTGTGTGTGTGTGTGTGTGTGTGTGTGTGTATTCAGTGGGGCTTGAACTGCTACTACTAAACTTATAAAGTAAAGTATTCCCATCATTTGTAATAAAGTAGGGATTCAGGATGAGAGGCTAATCAGTAATTCATAATCTCGTTTCTGAAGAATGTTAGGGTTAGACAATAGAAATCTTATTCTTCAGTTAGACATTTACTGGCCCCAGAGATGTTTAATGGTTTCCACAGCTCTAACAAAAGATCTTAAAAAAAAAAAAAACCTGGAGGCTTTCTGCTGGTGAAAATAATCAAAAATACTGAAATTCTGAAAAAATATCTGATTGATTAGTGACCAGAATGGGAGTCTGAAGATGTGGGAAGGTAGACAAAGTGCTGAACATCTTTGGCAGCACAGGTCTTGGACAACAATGGAGAGGATGTGACCAAATCACATAAAGGTATTCTGGCTCTTCTGTTCAGTAATTAAAATCCACAAATTATCCTCATTTGAATTATAAAATCCACTCTTAAAAAGGTGCAAATCAACAACATAATCATTGTTCTAAACTAAATCCATCCTGACACTGTGAATGTTTAAATAGCCTTTTTCTACTATCATAGTAATAGGTCAGACTACTTTTTCAAAGTACTACAGGATGTTGCCATGGCAACAATGCAATTCCTTCTGAAAAATAATTGCCTAAAAAATAAACTGGAGGCAACACAGCTCTCTTCAGAATTTTTGCACTACTTTATCCAAATTATTATAATACATATTATTATACTAATTGTTGTAATACATGCTATTATTCTACACTTATCTTCTATTTCATTAAATACTTTTTTGTAAAATGTCTTTTTAAAAATTATTGTTATTTTAACACTAATCTCAGATATATTATGTGATTTTGTATTTAAAATCAAAAGACAATCTGAAAATATTAAGAAATTTTCTGAATTCAGAACAAAAAGCTGTCTTTCCATATAACTATCCTCACAAATTTTATCTTAACCTGTGCTTTAAATTAAAAACAGTCCATAATATGAATAACACAAAAACACAGCCATATGAAAAGTGAAACAGAAAAATAATCACAGAAAGTCATAATGACAAGGTAAATATATCTTACTCTTTGTAGTCCTTCATACCAATCATCTTGCTCAAACCAATTTGAAATGTAAGTCATCCAAGCCATAGGATGTTTCTACTTTAATCAGGGCAATCGGAAACTCAGCGTCAGAACAAACAGCGCCTAAAGTGACAACAACGTGTTTCAACCACGTGTTTCAACCAAACAGGCTTTACCAAAAGCTACCTTCTGAAATGAGGTTCAGAAGTGGAGCTCGAAATGCACAAACATTTCAGTTGACAGAATCTTAACAACCTACCAATAATAGTACATCTTTACTTAATGCTATATTGGAATTTATAAGGCCATATTAAAATAACAAAAATGAGATACTAACTTTGCTGTCATACGGTACCAGACAATACTGTAACAAGTCTTATGCAGCTTTCAGTTTTACATGCTAAAGAAAAATCTCAGATTTACTTTTTTTTAAAAAAAATAAGCAAATAATTCTAAATCCAGAAAAAACAAAAAGCAGAAGATAAATTCCAACGTCAGGGCTTGGACATAAATAGAGACAATAAAGGCTTCTAGGGTAAAGGTGTACAATGAAAAATGCCACTCCCATATTTGTATTTTCTTTCAGTTCAGTGTTTAAGAACTGAAACATTTTTATAAGTATTGCTAATCACAACTGCCTTCGAAAGTTTGAAGAGATTACATCACTTATTATAGTGCAATATGTACAACAGAGTCAAAATTAGATTAACTTCATTTTTAGCTTTACTCACTTGTGACAGAAATTATTTACAAATCATGGTTTATATGATGTTTTGCTACACTGAATAATATTTGGATATAAAAATATCATCTGTACTGTCTCACATGATGTTTTCCAGATCAAACTCATTAAACCTTTATGTTACAGTAGACATTAGAGAAGGAAAAAGGCAAAAATGAAAGAGTGAAAGAGGGAGGGAGCTGAGAGAGAGAAAAAGAGGGAAGGAAGGAAGAAAGGAAAGCAGAGGGAGACACAACTTTTATTCATTTGGTTGTTTCATCATTCATAGCTATAAGGTAAGAGAGCTGTTATCTTGGCATAGAAAGCTAACCCTGTACAAAATGTAAGTATCACAGTAACAGTGCACACAGCCTTATCTTTATTTTGAAGCTTTATCCTCTAGGAGTACTTCCATTCTATCTGCTTGAAGCCTGTTTACAGTTGTTTATATTCTGATGTTGGCCCTTAGGCGTTCACGCCTATTCTTATCCTAACTACAGCTGGCTCTTGGTTTATATCAGCATATGTTTTGTTTTGTATTGTTTTACCCTGTGATTCATCTTTATCTGTCCCTGATCCCACCATTCTACCTTGTCACTGAACTATTTCTACTCATGCCAAGATCTTAAACTCTATTTCAAATTACATTGTCAATCTGAATTCCTCAGCTTTCACCTCTCAAGTGAAGTTTCTCTTTCTACCACCACCAAACATCCTTTCTCTGGCACTGATCATCAATCGCAATGACTCTCTTTACACTGTAGATATTCCCTGAGGAAAGCATCAAGCCCCCTATGATGCTTTCATTAACAGTTTCCAAATCCCACTACATTTGATTACTAAGGGTTATCAAACTGCCTTGAGAAGGTCTTTTCTAAAGACGGTTAGCTCCACCCCTAAAGTCATTGCACTCACTGAAACTTGTCATGTCATCATATCTTGTAAGATCAATAAAATGATTTATGTATCAGGACCCTGTTCTCACTGCAATTCCCATACATATGTTGTCCTATACTTCCATGAGTTTATGCCTTGAAATATATATTTTCTTATTTATGTGGCAAGAAAACATAATGGCAAAAGTTTACTTACCTAAATATACAAGGGATACTTAAATAAATCTGGATTGTTAGATATAACAATAAATCACTGAAAAACAGTTGAGTCTTTTCACAATAAGGAAAATACATTAGTACCTGTTGTGTGAGTCCATTCACCTATGGGGTAGTTTTCGGTTTGTTATGCCTCACCACTTTAAATAGTAGTTCTAATTATTTGCATTAAAACTTGAAGAACTAGGGCCCAGCATGATAGCTTACTGGCTGAAATTCTCACCTTGCAACCACTGGGCTGCCATATGAGTGCCGGTTTCTGTCTAGCTGCTCCACTTCCCTTCCAACTCCCTGCTTGTGGCTTGGGAAAGCAGCAGAGGATAGTCCAAAGTTTCCGGACCCTATATCCAAATTGGAGACCAGGACGAAGCTTCTGGCTCTTTGCTTCGGATCAACTCGGCTCAAGCTGCTGCAGCCACTCGGGAAATGAACCAGTGAAGGAAAGATCTTTCTCTCTGTATCTCCTTCTCTTTGTGTATCTGTCTTTCCAGTTAAAAATAAAGAAATAAATCTTTAAAAAAAAATTAAAGAGCTACTCAGAAGTTGCTCACTTCTAGATGATTTTTGTGCAGTATGTATCATAGTCATCACAGCCAATAATTCTTTTTAACGCATTAATCCCTTTCTCGTGAACATTTAATCAAAATACCTTACTAAAATCTCTACATTGTTCTGCTCTAAAAATTTTTAATGACTTATATCAAGATAATTTAACAAGTCAGCTATGTCCATGAGGTATTATGGTACATCATCATAAGAAGCTGTTATTTTTAGGGTACAAAATGGAATTCCAAGCGAACTTGTATTTAACATAATTTGGTTTTCTAAGAAAATCTATTTTGAGCTTTTCTAAAATAAATTTCTAAGAAGCATAAATGTAGTTTCATCAAATAGCAATGTACTTTTTTATGGTAGTGGTTTGGTACAGCAGAAAGAAGGTAATCGGATCAAAAACACACGTGTATGTATTTTTAGGTAAGAGTACATTTGTTTCCCAGGCGTTAATTCATCTGTTATTTCATAAGACGTAGAAGCACACAGACTCAAATGTCTTTGGGAAAGCAGTTTTTAATATATAGGTGAATCTATCATCACAGAAATTAATTTTAAAGATGGAAGAATGTACATTATTGGGGACCGTATTTGCCCAGATTTTTGGCAATGAATAACATCAAGACCTACCATTACATTAGAAGGAAGGATACAACATTTCTCAGCCTCTAGCTTCTCTGCCACCTGGAACTTGGGCCTACCTGCTATGGCCTAGCAGATGTTTTGTGTTGTAAGAACCAGGACTTCTCCCAAAAAAAGGACAGAACAGTGAGCTATGTCAAGTCTGCATTTCTAAAAACCTGAACTTATTACTTCCTGAGGTTTGGTTTTTTTGGGGGGGGGTTGAAAATTAAAAACCATTATTCTGCCTTTCTCTGTTTTATGCAGCAGAACATCAGGTAGGCTGTTACAGTACATAATTTCAAAACAATTTTTACAAAGCGGATTAGTCAATAATGTGAGTTTGTTACACCCTTCTGAATTTCTGTCTTTAAATATTATTATGCTTTCATCAGCTCAGACATAAACTGCTACTATAATTCAATCATTGTCATCTATGGCAATATTAATTAGCAGTGCTGATGTTATTTTGGCTAAACAAATACATTATTTGTCCATGCACCTGCTTCATTAACACAGTATTTCATGAAAATATATGGATCCATGCAGCTCTGCTGCATCATAATATTTCATTCTTTTCCAGCAAATAGTGTATCATCCTAAAGACACAGATGCAGGTTCCTAAAGATGCAAAGATAATCAAGAAACAAACAGAAAGAAATCCCTGCTTCAAGAAGCTTAGAGCAGAGACAGATAATCCAAAAAGCCGATATATGTTTACGGAACCACTCCCTCTACCCCAGGGTTGGGAGTAGGGGGAGTTTACCTTTACTTGTCAACAACCCTCCAGCGTTGTTATGGGCAAGAAAAGTTCACCTAAGCCGGGAGAGGTTTATAGTTCATTGGTTGGAGAGAATGGTGATGGATTGAATCTGTTGTACTAATTACATTCTCCTCAGATAATTAAGGATCTAAATATGGACACCTGACCCACTTTCAACTAATGAGATATAAATGGCTGTCTCTGGCATCGTTCTCTTATCCTCTTTCCGACTTGGGTGTGCGTGTGAATATTACAATCCTAGCATTATTAGCACATCATAATTTATTTCATTTTCTAGGTTTTTACTTACTTAAAAAGCATAGTAACAAAGAAAGAGGGAGAAACAGAGAGGTCTTCTATCTGTTGGTTTACTCTCTAAAAGCCTAAAGCAACCAGAATCAGGCCATGTCAAAGCCAGGAATGCCATCTGGGCTTCCAATGCAGAGGACAAAAAAACCAATATTTGAGCCATAATCTGTGGCCTCCCAGACACATTAGCGGGAAGCTGGATTAGAACTGCAGGGTATCCAGGACATGACCCTAGCATTCTCTGGATTCTAACATGAAATGTGAAATCCCAAGCAGTGCTCAACCTACTGTGCCTGAACATCTGTCTTCAGTTATTCTGTTACATGAAAAAATAATATTTACTGTAGCTACTGATTTTATGATCTCTGTATTTGACTTCAATCCCAATAATAAATAGAAAAAATGTATAAATCAATGTGCAATGCCTGAAATGCCTACTATATAACAGATGATGAACAAGGTGCTTAGAGAAGAAAGAAAAACTGAGTAAGTTGGTGTCAAATAGTCAAGGTGGGTTTAACAAAGCTGGGATTTGAACTTTTGGCATAAAACATTTTTCTGTGCTTACACTACAAGAATACATAATGGCCAGCTAGACAAAGAAAGAACAAAGAAAAACTAGGTAGATCACAATAAAGATTGTGAATTTCATTTTGTAGATGACAGGGATGCTGAAACAGTTTAATAAATTCTGCTTTATTAATCTGAGCAGCAGAGAGACATACAAACAGAGCTCTTAAATACCTACTTCCCTCCCAAATGCCCATAAAAGGAGCCAGGAACAGAATCTCAGAGATTCAGCCATGGAAGTCATTATCTGCTGCTTCCTGTGATGTGCCTTAGGAGGGAGCCAGATAAGGAACAGAGCCTGTACTACAACCAGGCACAATGAATAGGAACACAAACGCCTCACCTAGTGGCTTAACCACTTGGCACATTGGTATTTTGCTTTGATTTCCCATCATCATTTCAAATTCAAACATTAGAG